AGATCACCACCTCCATCACCTCAGAGAGAGCATCACCTCCATCACCTCAGAGAGCATCACCTCCATCACCTCAGAGAGCATCACCTCCATCACCTGAGAGAGCATCACCTCCATCACCTCAGAGAGAGCACCACCTCCATCACCTCAGAGAGATCACCACCTCCATCACCTCAGAGAGAGCATCACCTCCATCACCTCAGAGAGAGCATCACCTCCATCACCTCAGAGAGAGCATCACCTCCATCACCTCAGAGAGCACCACCTCCATCACCTCAGAGAGAGCATCACCTCCATCACCTCAGAGAGAGCACCACCTCCATCACCTCAGAGAGCATCACCTCCATCACCTCAGAGAGCATCACCTCCATCACCTCAGAGAGCATCACCTCCATCACCTCAGAGAGAGCACCACCTCCATTACCTCAGAGAGAGCACCACCTCCATCACCTCAGAGAGCACCACCTCCATCACCTCAGAGAGCACCACCTCCATCACCTCAGAGAGAATACTACCATTAGGATCTGTATCCCTGTGCTTTTCTTTCCATGCCCATGGATTTTTGGGCAACACAATGCCCTCCTCACCACACGGTGGTTGGCTTCTGATCTCAGCCTTAGAGAGGGCCTTGCAGGTCTGCTGTGGGGGTGGGCAGCCCCTCCCCGAGCCATCATGTCTGCTGGTGGGAGTCTCTGGCCATGCCCTCCACATGCTGGCCACGGAGCACTGTGCCTGGCCACAGCCTTGCCCGTCGCTGAGCCCGAGGGCGTCCTTTCTGGTGGTGTCTTTCCTTTATGGCTTTGCCGTCCTGTGAGGAGTGGTGGCTTGGCAGATCCCACCCGTCCCGGGCTGGTTTCCGGTTCCCTGGGGCCCTGTGTACACCTGTCCTTTCATCTCATCTCTTCCCTCGGCACGGCCTCTCCACGGCAACCAGCATCTGCTCTGTTGGAAGCACAGCCCCGCTGGGCACGACTGCCAGGTGACAGTGGCATCAAAGCAGTGCCCACACCGTACAGACACAGCCCATCCCCCTGGGCACCTCGTGTCCTGCTGCAGTCCTGTCACGTTGCTTTCTGGCTAGGGACTCTGCCTTGCCACTCTGTGCCCCAGTCACTCTCACGTCACCACGTGGCTGGTCACCACAGAGCGGGACAAGGGCTCGTCTGTGCTGACCTCTACCCAAGCCAGAGGGGACGTGCTATCACTCCGACTGCAGCACTTTGGCCCACACGACAAGTAGCAGTGCAGGTGCCAGAGGGAGTGAGGCGCGGGGAGTCTTGGCAGCAGCTACGGAGGACACGTGAGATGGCTGGGCGCCTTCAGGGACACGGGTGTGTAGGTTGGCCTGACGAGCCACCCAGGCCGGGCCAGTGAGTCCCGTGGCGTGTACACCTGAGTCCACACCCAGCCTGCCGTCCCACCTGCCTTGGCTGCCCACAGGACAGCGTCATGGTCACGTCCGGCACCCAGGCCTGGGAGCCCCTCGTGTCCCCTCCAAGCTTCTCCTGGCTCCATTTGGGGTTCAGGTGGCCTGGGACACCTTGGAAGGGAGCTGGCTTTTCCTGGAGGATGTCACCCCCACGTCCTGAAAGCGCTCTCGGAGCTCCTGTCCCCACACACGGTCAGGGTCACCAGCCCTGGGGGGTTTTCATCGTGCCGCCTGTCCCCCGAGGGTGCCTGTCTCATCGTCCCCTCTCTGTGCCAGAGACACTTTGCATCTTCATTTCATGTTGCGAATGCTAAAAATAACCCTGCCGGTGCCTCCAACTTCCGCCTCGTTTCTCTCACCTTTCAGCAGGGGCTGACGGGATGCAGCAGGCAAGCTCGGCGGAGCACGTCGCCCTGGGGTTTGTCCTTGCCACCCAGTCACCTTGGGTTGGGGCAGGTGGCGTCTGGGCGATGGCTGCTGTCCACCCTGGACTTGGCCCAGCTGTCATCCCAGCATGCGCGCCTGTGCCCTAGGCCAGTGGGACACGCATGGCTGGACAGAGTGCTAAGCTGGGGCTGTGTGTGTGGAGTGGGGAGAAGATGCAGCGTGATGGAAGAGGCTGACGCCTGGGACAGGAAGTACGGAACGCTGACGGCGCTGCAGGGGGCTGAGCCAGGCAGCGAGGAGCCAGCGGCCAGAATGACTGCTTCACGGAGAAGCCCTGCAAAGATGTCACAGCCAAGCGAGTCAGGGGAGCCTGGGGAGGGGGGTCTGGCTTGGAAAGAAGGGAGCTATAGGTCAGAGACTGGGACCCAGTGCTGGGCCGTGCACCAGGGGCCGGGACCCAGTGCTGAGCTGTGCACCAGGGGCTGGGATCCAGTGCTGGGCTGTGCACCAGGATCCGAGCTGCAGCCCTGGGCTGTAGACCAGGGGCTGGGACCCAGACCTGGCTTGGCCAGCTTGCCTCTGAGGCAGCCTGAGCTAGCTGATACTCGGGGTCTTGCTTCTCTGTCCATGAAGGAGCAGAGAGGCCTGGTGGAATGGCGGGGTGCAGGGGTAGGTGGAGGGAAGAGGTGGTAAAATGGTGCCCCTGCCCTCGTTCTGCTCCTCAGCCCCCGTTCACAGGCCTGCTCCCTCCAGGGCCCACACCAAACACACCTGCTGCCGGGGAGGGAGGGAGGCCCCCGTGGGTACCAGGGAGAGGTGCTGGTGGGCAGTGCTGGGGGAGCTGGTCCTGGAGGGAGGATGCCTGGAGGCCCCCCGACCCCTGAGCTCTGGTACTGGCCAGCAGGGATGCCGTGTGGTCCTTTCCACCTGCGTGGTGACCCAGGTGGGGCTGGAGCGTCCTCTGGTGGCAGCCAGGAAACTGTCGCCCAAAGCCCGGGCTGGGCCTTTGGGAAGCTTCAATTTGATTTATGCAGATGCTCTGCGGTAGCCTTGACCCGACATCAACCAATTGGTCGCTTTTACCTGAAGTTGGGGCGGGGGTGTAGTGGACACAAGGTTCGCATTTGGCCTCTTGAGGTCGGCCTGCCCTTGTCTTGAACCACCTGCTTCCCAGTTCCCACTGGAGTGGCCCCAGATACACCTGGCGCCGGGACCCCCATCACACAGGGGCTTCCAGCCATGTTGCTACGCTGGGCATGCCGGGGCCGCCGGCTCGTTTTGACTCAAGGTCATGCATTTGTCCGGATGGCTCCATTTTCAGTTACAGTGGCCCTGGTCTTGCTCACACACATCGGACCGAGTCACGCTCGCAGCCGTGAGCCAGCAGGTACTGTGGGGACAGCCTCAACCACAAACCCAGAGCTGAGAGGAGGAGGGCATGATTGACATGGGGCGGGAAGGACGGAATATGAAGAGCTAAGCTGGGCTGCCCTGATTCAGCAGGTAAAGCCGCCACTGGCTCGAGTCCTGGCTGTTCCACTTCCGATCCAGCTCCCCACTGATGCACCTGGAAGGGCAGTGGAGGACATCCCCAGAGCCTGGGCCCCTGCTCCCACGTGGGGGACCTGGCTGGAGTCCCAGACTCCTCGCTTAGGTAGGTCTGGCCTCAGCCTGGCTCCCGCTGCTATTCGGGGAGTCACCTGGCAGATGGAAGGTCAGGCTCTCCTGCTTTCCAAAGCTGCCTTTCAAATAAATAAGCTAAACGTAACTGACACAGGCTGGGAAGCTTGGCTGCGATGCTGCTCGCGGTGCTGAGCCTGCCCACTCCCCCACCCCCAGGCGAGCGGCACGGACCCTCCAGCCATGCCACTGTTTGCTCAGGTGGTGGTGGTGGGGTTGTCTGTGTTGATTAGATGCAGCTGTGAGGGGGAGGCGAGATTGACCCTGGTGGTTTAGAAATGACACAGAGATTTTTGAACTGGTAATTCACTCACCAAATAGCACAGCAGGCAGCACTGGGCCAGGCTGAGGCAGGAGCGTCACCCGGGTCTCCCACATCGGTACAGGGGCCCAAGCACGTGGCCACGTTCTGCTGCCCTCCCAGGTGCGTTAGCAGGGAGCTGGACACGGGATGGAGGCGCCGTGGGCCGTGGCTTAGCCAGCTGGGTGTGCCACAATGCTGGCCCAGAGGCTGGCATTTGTTTCCTTGGTGTTTGCCCACCTGAATGGGAAAACTGAGACGTCCAGTGGCATTGCCATGGCAACCCAGAGCTTCCTCATCCTGGCCATTTTGGGTGGGCGTGGTTACGTGGCTGCTCCGACGACAGATGCGGTACTGCCCAGCAAGCGCGTGTTTCTTCCTCCAGGGTTGTGCGGACTCTTCTGCCCACACACGTGGCCAGGCTACCGTTAAAGGGAATTTTGTGTACTTGTTTTCAGAAAAGAGCGGCTGAAGAGCTTGGCCTAGAAGCTTCCAGAATGTGAAGCTGTCCCTTCCCTTGTAGGTTGTGCAATTTCCTTCCGCTGTCGGGCAGCAATGGGCGGTGGCTGAGGGCTGGAGGCCGGGCTGGCACGGCTGCTGGGTACCCTCACCTCTGCATTTGGCCAGCCTTGGAGGGATTGGCTGTGCAGCGGCTGGGGGCAGTGGCATCTCCGTGCCCTTCCTAAGCCACCCCTGGGGTGTCAGCTCCGTGCCCCAGGCAGACACCTATGGGGAACGTGGCTGGTGCAGATGGCAGCTCAGGGCCACTGCAGGCAGCGTGGCAAGGAGGCAGAGGGCCTCCGGGGAGCAACTGCAGGGCAGCAAGCATGGGTAGGGGTGTGGCAGGGGTGCCCAGTGCTGTGCATCCAAGGCCGAGGAAGCTCCTCCTCCTCCCTCCTGACGGACGCATCGATCAACCTTCCATGCACACAGCTTGAGGTTTTTGTTAAAAAACCACTTTGTTTTAAAGGTCAGAGAAGCACTTTTGCGAGAGAAACAAGGAAACAGACAGCCAGGGGATGCCTGGCGCCTGCTGGAATAAATAACCAAACACTATCTCTACTCCATAACACGTTCTGAATAAATAACCCAGGGGTGCCTGCACCGGGGAGGCAGCGCAACCCAGAGCTCCCGGCGCTGACCGCGAGGGGGCGCCCGCCTCCCTGCCGGGACCCTGCAGTGGACCTGCCACCTGGTGAGCCCTGGGCACACGCCCAGCAGCTGGGAGCTCGGGGCCAGGACCCTGTGGCCGGCGCACCTGGCGTCTCCACGCTACAGTTGGGCTTATTGCTTTATGACTGTGGACTCCCCGGTGGCGACCGGCCTCGGGGCAGGAGTGTGGAGGCGCTGGAGACCGCCGTGGGGCGAGGGGACTGGTCAGCCCCTCTGTCCCGGTGCTCCCGGCCGGCCGCCAGCCCACGCAGGCGGACTCTCAGCCTCCCCAGCTCGGCCACGCAGCCGCCCACAAGCCTGGTGCTCTGTGCACAAGCACCTGAGCGGGGACAGGGTGGTTCCTGTCGTCTGTTGTGTCCGAGTGAGGTCTGCAGCTGGCTGGGCCACCGTGCCAGAGGCACAGTTAAGGCAGTGGACGGCAGCAGTCCCCTGAGGCCATCTTGGCCTCCACGTGTGGCGTGAATCCTCCTGCTGGATTCTGTGTCATGTCCAGGGGTGTGCGACAGGCAAGCTCAGCCGTGCTCCCCAACACAGGATGCCTCAGCTAACTTCTCCAGGGACAGCGTGTGACAGACAGCTGCCTGTCAGTGTTCCTTCAGTCTGAAAGAGATGGACGAGGAACGGCGGGTCACGCGTGGGAGCTGGGCAGTACGCGGTGCACGTGGGCCTCTGGCCCCATTCACACAGGAATCTCAGAGGACAGGGGCACAGCCGTGCGCCACCCCCACGGCCCAAGGACAGAGTGTGGGAGGGAGGGAGCGAAGGAGCCACAGCCCACACAGCCGCAGTAGAGGACCCTCCGGGGAGGGATGACCCCACTCAGCCCACACAGGTACAGCAGGGTGGGAGGGGGCCGTGGCACCCTAGGACACGCTGGCCAGGGGACTTGGAGCCGCCCTTTGATCCCTGGATGGGCTGGGGTGGGGGTCCCGCCGTGGACTTACGGAGCCTGGTCACTCGCCACTGGCCCCGGACAGCTCAGCTCCTTGTGAATGAGGCGGATCAGGAACTGCACCCAAACAAAGGCAAGATGGCCTGTCAGGGCTCATGGGAACCGGGGTGCCGCTGCTGTGACCCCCTCGGATGCACACGGGAGCCTCAGGGACACGCCCAGGCTGCAGCCACACGGCTGGCCGGCCAGAGGACAGCAGCCCGCGTGCCCTGGACCTGCCTGGGACTGCAGAGCAATGCGCAGCCCCACTTCTAACCAGGGAGCCCCAGGGCCTTGGGGGGCACTGAGAGGGCCTTGCAATGCCAGGGGCCACCTTACCAGCAAGGCACAGGCGTCAGCAAACATCAGCATGTAGAAGACGTTGCCCCACCCGGACGGGGAGATGAGGCCGGCCAGCAGAGGACCCAGGGCGGCTCCTGGAACGACACGGAGCGGAGTTAGCCTGGGACCACGCGGCTGCGCCCGGAACTGGCTCTGTCAGATGGGGTGGCAGGCGCAGTCGGAGTGGGCGTGGTGGAGTGAGGCGGGCGTATGGACAGCACCCTCTTCCGGATGATTCTAGATGCATATATTTAATTACAGAATGTCCACTGTTTGGCTCCAGCAGGCCTACGCTTAGTGAGTTGGATGCCACAACAAACACGACCCGGGGAGAGAGGAACATTGGCAGATGCTGTGGCCGGGGCTCCTGTGGCCACCGCCCTTGTCCCAGGAGCCGTGTGGATGAGGAGGGCGGGCGGGAGGCAGAAGGGGTCTGCAGTATGGGGGTGGGGCTGGAGCAAAGTCGGGGGCAGCATGGGGTTGGGGATGTGAGCAGACGGGAGCCATGTAGCGTGCCACCCCAGAAAGCACGGGTGCTCGGTGGGGACACAGAAGCAGCCAGAGCATGAGTGGCACGGGCACGTGGGGCATGTGAAGGGTGGAGCCCAGCGCAGGAAACACGTGGCCACGGCCAGAAGTGGGGTGTGGGGGGCTCCCCAGCTTCTTAGGTTGTGGCCATTTTTCATTCTGACACAGTGAGTACCGCCAGGGCAAGGTGGGGCCATGGCACTTGCCCCGTGGCCGCAGTGGCTCCCCTCTCCCCTTGGGGCCACTGTGCCAGGTCCCCGCCACATGGGGCCTCCACTGCAGGCCTGCTCTGTCCCCATCTCCCAGGAGGCAGCCATGGGTGGACACAGTGTGTGCCATTTCCAAGGTGACCATCCACAGCACTCACTCCGAGGTGGCCCAGAGCAAGGAATACTGGGGCGAGTGCTGCCCAGCGCAGGTGGCCTGTGTCAAGTGCCTGCCTGCTCGCTGCCACCTTCCTTCCGGGCTGGGGGTGGGCACCTTTCTCACCCACACAGCCAGGAAGGTGGCATCTGGTGTCCTGCCCCAGGCACAGAGGGCACAGATGAGGGGCCACCACCTGTGGCCCCTCCCACTCGGCTGACAGCAGGGAAAGTGAGTTCTCCCCCTGGTTGGTGATTTTCCTCTCTTTAAACTTTGCTCCTCTGTTTCAAAATAGCCACCAGGGCTGCCTGCCAAATTCCAAATTAGCTGCATGGTCCGGACCCCACACGGGGAATTGGCCCCATCCACTGACCTCTGGGGCCGTGAGCAGGCTGCTATCATGCGGTTGCTGGGGCCCAAGCCCAGCCCTGGTGGCTCCTGACTCCAGGCTTCTGGAAGCTTCTGAAGGCTCCACTAGCCATGCGGGGTGGGGAAGGGGGAACTGGGCTGCTCCATGGGACCCATCAGCAGATGCAGCCCCAGCCCACCTGTCCTGACCTCGTCCTGGCTCCAGGAGGCAGTCTTAAAGGGGGCATCAGCCACCCATGGTATCAGTCCATCAAGGTCATCAGCTGGGAACACCTGCCACCCGGCCAGCACCGAGGCCACGGGGCCTGCCACATGGGACGCTGCAAGAACCGGGCTCTGAGTGAAGGCCCCTACCCCCTAACTGCCTGTGTCTATCCATCCACCCGCCCCTGGGGTAGCAGGTGGCACCAGGCAGCCCTCAAGATTCAGTCTCACAGGGACAGCATGGGCTCCCCAGGGCTGGTGCTGTGAGCGGCCAAGGCCACAGCCATCTCTGACTGGCAGGTTAGGAGGGGTCTGCTAGTCTCCACCGCCTGTTCTCCAAGTTCACTGATTCCGCCACGTCTGTCTGCTGCAGAGCCTGTGGGAATCACACGGACGCTAGGCATGGGAACCACGACCCTGCCCGGCATGGCAGGTCAGGGGGAGTGTGTCCACGCATCCTAATACCACGGTGATGGTGGTAAGTGGTCAGGGCACCAGGCTAGGCCCCTGCTCTCTCAGATGGAGACCTGGACCACAGCCACACGTGTGTCCAGGGAGCTGGATCGTCCAGTTTCACGCCTGCCTCTTCCCTGCCCTGAACCCAGCCGGCCACATAGGACGGCTGCCCTGGCGTCCCCCAGGCCCAGAGAGGAGGCCACATCTGCCCCGACCAGCGAGGCTACGCACCTACAGAGCCGGTCCCATCAATGATGGCCGTCACGGTGGACAAGGCGTGGGAGTTCCCCTTCAGACTCTTGTGAGTACCCTGTGGGGGTGGGGAGAGGGCATGGGTGAACCATGAGAGCAAGAGAAACAGAGACACCCAGGGCCCCCAGAGGAGGACTTCCTGGAAGGGAGGAGAGGGCACGAGTGAACCAGGAGAGGGAGAGACAGAGAGACCCAGGATCCTCAGAGGACTGCCTGCGATCACGCTGAGAGCCAGCTCAGCCTGCTGTGTCTTCCAGCTCCATCCCTGGCTCCCCTCATGGGGGACCAAGTTCCTGGGGCACCACTTGCCCATGGCAGCTCACTGGCTCCTCGCCTGGCACCGTGGCAGCCAATGGCACACACGAGAGATGAATGGGTCCCATCCCTGCCCAGAGCTGGGCTGTGCTCCCTGGGAGCTAGGGTCAATCCAGGGGGTGTGGCAGAGGCCTCTGTGCTTCAAAACCAGCGTGTGCCAGGGGATGGAGAAGCCCCCGAGACACCCAGGCACAGGTGCCGAGTGGCCATCCAGCTAGCGGCAGTCCTGGTCTCTAAAAGCTGCCCCAGGAGGCAGGGGGCGGGCGTGGGGTACAGGGAGGGCCAGCATGCACCCAGGGCAGGGGGGCACTCACCAGGTCGGCAGAGACGGCAGTGGTGATGAGCGCGTAGGGCCCGCTGACCAGGGCCCCACTGAGCAGCAGCATGGCTGTGGAAGGGGTGGGTGGCAGGGATTAGAGTGGAGCCATGTCCGCTGGGAGCACTTCTGGCCGCGTGTGCCCTCTCTGGGAGCCCACAGGGCTCTGCACTGGCCCAGGCGGCTGCTGTCCGTCTCATATCCCATACCGGTCCATGGCACCTGCTGCCGTCTGCGAGCCACAGGCATCATCTGAGAGCCCCGTCTGCAGGATGCTCAGCAACAGTTAACCTGGTGGCTGGGACTGCTACCCCAGCCTCTGCCCACCACCGGCCTGTGGTGGCCATGGCACCTACTGCAGGTGCAGTGGCTGACACCTCCTGCCGGCCCGCCCTCAGGCTCTGCTCCCTGAGCCACACGGACCACGCAGGTGCTGGGCAAGCGGCACGATGCCACGCACTCACCGACAGTGGCCTCTAGGCCCATCCTGCTGACGGTGGAGAAGACGTAGAGCTGTGGACGGATGAGAACGCGGTCAGGCCAGAGGCGCGGCTGGGGAAGCCTGCAGCTGCGGGGCACAGCAGGGCTCAGGGGCAGAGGGGCAGGCGGGGCTCACCGTGGGTGCCGCCAGCAGCAGCATGAGGCCGCAGGTGGAGGCCCGTTTCTCCAGGCGGTCTGAGATCACGCCCGCCAGGATCCCACCTGTAAGGTTCAGGGGCGGGCGGAGGGGGTGGAGTGACCACGGAGCCCTTCTTGCCTCCCCCACCCGCAGAAGCCCCTCCACCTGCCAGGTTGGCCCCTGCACTGCCTGTCACCCGCTGAGGCCGCTAGTCCCGGGAAAGGGGGAGGCACAGGCCACTCAGGCCCAGCGAGCCCCTTGGTGACACAGCCTTGTCCCCGTAAGGGCGGCGCCAGCAGCCCCCAGCTCACCGAAGATCCCGCCCACGTCGAACAGGGTGGAGAGCTCACCAGCTTTCTTGGCGTCCAGGTGATCTGCGGGGACAGCAGAGGGCGCTAAGGGGCGGCTGGGCCTCCCGCCAGGGGAGGGGCTTCGGCGGGTGGGGAGGCAAGCAGGGCTCCGTGGTCACTCCACCCCCTCGGCCGCCCCTGTCCCTTGCAGCTGGGATCCTGGCAGGCGCAGGACTCCCGGCCTGTTAGCGATGGGAGATTGACAGGGCAAGGAAACAGAGCAGATGGGGGCTGGGGGAGTCCCCTGCTGTCCGCTCCTTCTCATTCCCCGGGGACTCCGTGGCCCTGGCCACTCCCCACCACCTTGGGAATCTCTTCTTGGGGTTACACGCAGTCCAGTTTGGGGCAGGCAGGCTCTGTCTGCCCATCACAGCCCACGGCTCCACCTGCTTGGCTCAGATCAGCAGGGACTTGCTGACTCAGGCTGGCGGGGCCCTGTTCTTGTTTCCCAGCACAGCCGGAAAAGGGAGGACCCTCGGGAGCCAAGCGCCAGCGGGGACGTGGCTGCCCAGGGGCCGTGGATTGCGTGACCCCGTTTAGAGTCACGTGGGGTAATCCAAGAGAGCTCTCACCCACGCTCGTGATGTACAGTGGCAGCCAGAAGAGGAAGGTGTAGCTGACCAGCTTGGCAAACAGCAGACACAGCGAGAACTCGATGACGCCCTGCAACACACAGGCAAGGGCGCTGGCCTCCACGCGGGGCCTCGGCACCGATCAGCACAGCCCACGGCCTTGGGCTGGGGGCCTGGCCCAGTGGCTTCTGCAAACAGGCGTGCCCCCGGGGGCTGCACAGACCAGCAGTGGGTCTGGCCATGCTGCCACATGCCAGGGGCGGCCTGCGTGTGACACCTGCCAGCGGCTGCTGGGGATGGCAGTGGGCCCAGGAAGCAGGGGCTTGCAGGGACAGGTGCGGGGTGAACTGGCACCTGTGGCAGGTCCAACAGGGTGGAGGGGGCAGCGGGGCTGTGGATGCCATGCAGCATGTGCGGGTGGAGAAGCCAGGGACCCCAGCCGCCTCTGGCTGTCCCCACGCTGTCCCGGCTTAGGGTCCAGGATGTTTCCCTTGGTCATTTTCCAAGTGTCCACAGCTGCTGTCTGCTGGTGGGGATGCGTGTGGGAGTCGCTGACCATGGGGCGGTCAGCTCACTTCGTCCCTGGAGCAGCAGCACTGTGCCAGGCGGGAGCCAGTGGGCACCAGGCCGCCCTACTTTCGCCAAGTATTTGGGGCAGTGGAGGGTGACTGGCCGCTAATGAGAACACGCTGTTTCATAGCATTTTGTTTAAGTCGGCGGCCGCAGGCTGGCCCCCGGCTCCCCCGAGCCCGCTGGCATCAGCCGCTGCCGCCGCAGGGACCCAGTTTCTCCTGGGGCCCTGGCCCGCTCCCTGCCCTTCTCCGATTGCTCAGTGTTATATTAAAGTCCTGCACCCTGGGGGTGCGTGCCTGATTTACATTCGCAGCCTACGCACCCAGGGGCCCCCAAGGCAGGGCCTGGGGGGAAGGACACGGGCCTGGTCACCACGTGGGGGGCAGGCCAGGTGGCTTGTCCTGCCTGGCTCCCTGGACATGGGCTGCTCCCCTCAGCCCCAACATACCTGTTGTGGGCTTGGCATCCCCTGGCAGTGTGTGTGTGTGTGTGTGTGTGTGTGTGTGTGTGTGTGCGCGCAGGCCTCCATCCATAGTGGGGGCCGGCGGGGGCCACTGCAGGATCGGCCTTGATGCCCGTCTCCAGGGCAGAGCTATAGCCGCCAATTGGCATCCCACACCACCCACTGCACAACTCCTCCGAAGGGGGGTCCTCAACGAGGGGGCTTTCATGTTCATCTACTTGAATCTCACGTGGGGTCTCTGGGTGCTGGCCTGGGCCGGGAGCGCGTGCCCACTGGCCTGTTCTCTAGTGGGTCCTTCCCGTGCATGCAGCTGGAGGAGCCCTCCCCCCGGCACGCACACCCGCTTTCCAGGGAAAACACACCCAGGAACCCCAGTGTCAGGTGGGGCATGTGTGTTAGGGTCAAGCCCGCCGCTCCCCCGCCTGGTCATGATCACATTGTGCAGTGGGTCTAGAGCAGCCGTTTTTTTTGAAGGGGATTAAAAATACGTCTTTGTTTATGGAATGTTGAATTTCTCATTTCAGAACAACCGAAGCCTAGTAGGAGGGCAGGAAAAGACCGCTGGGTCTCCCTCCGCACTGTGGCCTGGCTCCAGGCTGTCCTCACTCTGTGCCATGGCCACCTGGCCTGGGCAGCGTGCAGGCCCAGATGTCTGCCTGCAGGCCTGACCCAGCGGACGTCGGCCCAGCGTCCACTCACCGGAATCCTCAAGGCGCCCAGGAAGCTGATGGCGGCCATGCCGCTGCCCCCGTCCCCCGGAAGGATGACCACGTGGTTCGGGTGGCCGGAGCTCTTGCCGTCCGACAGCAGCAGGCACTGCATCTCGGGGTCCTGTGGGGGAGAGAGCGAGAACGGTGAGCCGCGTCCTTCTCAGCCCGCTCCTGCCTGCTGCCGGACAGCACCCTCAGGGGACACAGGCCTGGGCTTCGTCCAGGACGAGCCACATGCCGGAGTGCACACAGGCGTTGCAGAGGGCTCTTAGCAAAAAATGACTGGCAAAGTGAAAAAAAAAAAAAAAGCAAGCCAACACCACGTGCACAGGACAGGTGCCACGGTGCGGCTGCGTCAACGCAGCAAGGTCAGACACAACAAAGCAACAGTGCGAGAAGCTGAGGGTACTTCAGTACAAAAACACTTCAAACTCTGGGGCTGGTGCGGTGGCTCAACAGGTTAAGCCTCCCCCTGTGGTGCTGGCTCCCATATGGTCACTGGTTCATGCCCTGGCTGCTCCACTCCCCTCCCAGCTCCCTGCCTGTGGCCTGGGGAAGCAGTGGAGGACGGCCCAAAGCCTTGGGACCCTGCACCCACGTGAAACCCAGAAGAAGCTCCTGGCTCCTGACTTTGGATCAGTTCAGCTCTGACTGTTGCAGCCACTTGGGGAGTGAGCCAGCAGATGGAAAACTTTCTTTCCTCACTGTAAATCTGCCTTTCTAATAAAAATAAATAAGTCTTTAAAAAAATAAATTAAAAAGTGTTCTTCATGAGTAATTATGAGCTTCTGGGCCTTGCAAAGAAATGTCTCCATGTATCCCGGTTACCTCAAAAATCAAACTGGTTCTTTGGGACTTACTCACTCCAACCCATGTGGCTGCATTTAACGTGTGGTGAAATGGTAGATTTTGTACCTCCTATCTTCAAGATTTATAATTTTCTTCCAGTGAAAGAAAGAAAGAAACAAAGGAAAACAGACCAGAAGTTTAGGACTGGGCGGCAGGCTGAGCAGGTGCAGCCCAGGGGGTGCTAAGTGCCCAGTGTGGGCTCAGGAGGCTGAGGGGCTGACAGGGACAGTGGCCTCCGGCGACGGCCTCTGGCTAGCCACTGCCCTCGTGCCCATGCTGTCTGCAGCTTCACCGTGGAGTCTGACAACAGGTGGAGAAGGCAATGGCCGTCCCGGGAAGGAATGCGGAAACGGAGCCTGGCCTGGGGCTTGGGGACCGCTGGTTCCCTCCCTGAGTTATGGCGCAGGGGGAGCCTGGAGCGCCAGACAAGCCCCCCACCCCCATGTCCAATCCAGCCACTGCAAGGTGGATGAAATGTGAGCTAAACAAGCAAGCACTGGCAAGGGGCTTCCTTCGCCAGCGCTGGGGCGCAGGGCACCCCTGCTGACCTCCAGGCAAGCAGTTCAGATCTGCGTCCCCGGGGTCGCCCCGCACTCGGGGGAGCCAGCGTGGAGGTCGGAATGCCGTGGGGCTTTGCCAGCTGTGCCTGGCACATAGCGGAACAGCAAGGGCCAGCCAGGACTGGGCGCCTCCCACTCCGAGCCCCGTGTGGCTGAGCGAGGACCACCACATGTCCTGCCAAACTCAGGGGACATGCAGCTGGTGACCCAAACCCACGGGCAAGCCAGCACTGTCCAGGTCACGTCCATACCATGGTCAGCCTGAAGAAAACAACTCCTGCTTGGGGTGCTGGCCGGCAGATTCTCACAGAACAGAAAGGAACAGGGCTATGTACCCAAACACACAGCCAGGTCACAGGTCACCGGACACTCTGGGACACAGGGCCAGGTCATAGGTCACCGGGCATGCCTGGACACAGGGCCATGATTTTGACAGGCGAAGGTGAGCCTTCAAATTGTGAGCATCTGGACAATGATTGACATTTCTTGGGCCATGCGTGGTAGTCTAGTGGTTAAATACTCATCTTGTGTGTGCCAGGATCCCATCTGTGCACCAGTTCATGTCTTGGCTGCCCCACTTCCTTTCTGGCTCCCGGCCTGTGGCCTGGGAAAGCAGCTGAGGACGGCCCAGAGCCTTGGGACTCTGCACCCTTGTGGGAGACTCGGAAGAGGCTCCTGGCTCCTGGCCTCAGATCGGCTCAGTTCCAGCCATTGCAGCCACTTGGGCAGTGAACCAGCGGATGGAAGGTTCTCTCTGTGTCTCTCCTTCTCCCTGTGGGTCTGACGCCATCGTGTCCCTGTCCACAGCCTGAGGCAGTGCTGGGAAACTGGCTCCAGGAGACAGTTGTTCAATCATGTTCCAAGCGGATACAAAAGAAATCGCACAATGGGTTTAACTGACTGTCCAGGCAACACCCACTGCTCTAAGACCCCAGGGTGCGTGGCGCCCGTGCAGGCGGCGAAGCAGGGCTCCGGAACTCACCAGCGGCCTGCTCTTGTCGCTGCTCAAGCTTGTCTTCTGTACTCGGAATCGGTTTGAGCTGCTCTCACAGCCTTTGGCATGCTGGGAGGGAAAAAATCAGCAGTAACTGAATCAGGAACAAATCCCAAGTTCACTGTGACAAGCTGGCGCGTGACAGGACAGCCAGCCAAGAGTTGTGCGCAGGGGCGGACGGCGTGTCCCCAGAGGCCGGGCTGATGTCCGTCCACGGCCGACCTCAAGGACGAGTCTGTTCACTCAAGCCCCAGAATCTTTGTAAGCATCTGTGTGGCACGGCCCAGGGGAACTGGGAGTGGAGCAGGGGGCAATGCCAGCTCCCTCTCCTGTGGGCAGGACTCCAGGCTCCGGGACCTGGCAGGCTGGGCTGGCAGACACAGAGGAAGCAGGCAGGAATATGGCGGGAGCTGCCGCGTGATGGGGCAAGGTGGCAGCATGTTCTGACTGCTGCTTCCAGGGGGTCTCGCGGGTGTGGCAGGAGGAAGAACCGGAGGAGGAGGGGGAGGAGAAGGGGAGGCTGGCAGGGGTGACGGGCGTGTGTGGGGGTGCTGCTTCTCACAGCGTGTGCACGGAGAGAGGGTGAGGTGGTGAGGGGACAGATGTGGACGAGGACAGCAGCCAGGTCCCCGGGGCCGGGCAGGGACTCCAGGGGATGGCGGACAGCCACCTGCCCTGCTGAGTGTGAGTGGGGGTGGGGGAGAGGGCCCAGCCCATGGTCACGACGGCCAATGGGCTGGGCAGGCCCGATGGCTGCTACAGGGGGTTGCCCAATCCCAGATGACGTGAGCCAGCTCCCCCACGGGTTTCCCTGCCATCTCCCGAGGGCCCTGCCTCTGCTTGCCCCCAGTGAGGTGGCACCGAGCCTCCCATATGGGTGCACCGTGACTGCCCAGTGACTGCAGAGATGGGTCAGGCTGGGAGAGCCGCCCCTGCAGGCAGCCCGCCCCATCCACGTGTCCTTACCGCCAGCAGGGAGGAGGAGCACCGGATGTCCTTCGGATCTGAGGGGACAGGAGAGGGCGCTGAGGGCACCAGGCAGGTCTGCAGAGCCCAGCACAAGGCCCGGTGGGCTGCGTGCCCTGGTCCGGCCAAGAGGACGCCACCAAAGGGGACGGCCTCACTCCGCACCCCATGCGATGCACCTGACACAGATACAGCCCACTGGCTTAAAGACTCAAGGTGCCAGCTTTTGTTGAATCAGCCTGAGTTCCGCAGGAAGAGAGAGCAAGCTCGCTAGGTGTGAGGGCATGGCTTGGGTACACCAGCACCAGTGGCAGGTGCCCCCTGCTCCCCCCTGCACTCTCCATGCAGTGTTGCAGACTGCCAGCAGGGGGTGTTGAAATGCAACACCAGGGGATGGCATGGCTGGAATTACACCCCTTCACCAACTGACCCAGTGGAGACCACGCATCTACTGGTGGTGGGCCAGCACAGTGGGGGCAGGGCCCAGGAGCCTGGCTGCACCAGGGGTGTGACGGAGCTGCATGGGCGCTGATGGCTGGGCGAGGTGCCTGTCACTTAGAGCCTGGACTTTGGGCAGCCTGGGACAAGCAGCTCACGCAGGACTCCCCACTGTAGGCAGGCGTGAGCCTGGAGCTGAGCTGGGGGCTGGACTGTGCAGCGTGCCCACAGATCAGGGCTGCAGGGCTGGCGTGCTGGTGCGGAGTGACACCGGCCAGCTCCCCAGTCTGTCCCTCGTTGGGCTGTGATGCCCCGGGGGGAAGGCCAGGGGAACCCCTTGGCTCTGAGGCTTGCCCAGCCCTCATGCGGGGCTCTGCCTTGCAGGACATGTCTCTTGGCCAGGGTCCACAGTGGCTTCAGTGCACACTCTGAGGACACCAGTCCTTGGCCTTGCCCTGGGCGGGAGGTGGTGGAAGTGTAGGACACACAGCTCCAGCAAGAATGAAGCCTGACGCGTTTGGTGCCCACCCCGGCTGAGGACCAGGGCACGAGGACCGGCCTCCTCACCCTCGCGCTGGCTTGTGTCCCCTGCATGTATGTCCTCTCTCTGGCGCCACTGTGGACAGCCCAGGCAGCGGGCCACGGGCCCACCTGGAGACTGGCAGGGTCCCAAGGGACAGCCCTCCTAGCTGCTCCACTTCCCATGCAGCTCCCTGCTGATGCACCTGACAAACGTAGGATGACCCAAGTGCCTGAGTCCCCGCACAGGAGACCCCAAAGTAGCTCCCGGCTTCAGACTGGCCCAGCTTAGGCCATTGTGGCCATTTGGGGAGTGTTTCTTCCTCTATAATGCTTCCAAGGGAGATAATTAAAACCATATTTCCAATGTATGTCTTTTCCATAAGAGTCACCAATACTTGGAATTGGTGAGCTTGGCTTCGTGGCGTGGTTTTACAGGAGGAGCAATGTTCAAGCCCACGGGGACACAGATGTCCCAGGAACTTCAGTTCCCACGGCCCAGCCGGACAACGTGCAAGTCGGGGGTGAACATGGCCATGCCAGCCCCACAGCTCAGAATCCTGGAGCCTCAGCTGGGTCCCTGGAAGCCCCCACCCACCAGCGGGCAGTGCTGATGGCCCTGGCAGGTATCCGGATGGGCTGGGGTGGGCACAGCAGGGAGCTGCCCAGGATTAAGGGCTAGTCAGTTCCCACAGGGCAGGCGCCCTTCACCCAGCACGGGCTGCCTGCTGGGATCCTTGTCCAGCCCGCTCTCCACTCTGGAACTTCATTTGAAAGTCAATTAAATCCGAGGTCGGTACGGACTCTGGAAGGGAGCAAGGAATCTGACTTTCCGGTTAGACACCCTTTAACGGATGAAGACAAAGAGGGAGAGCCCTCGCTCGGATTTTACAACATCGTCTAGAATGTCGCTTATCAGAAAGCAAACAGAAGGCCGAGACCATCTCGGTACACCACTGCCAAGCAGGTGCAGCCGTGTGGCTGGGCCTGCACGGCCCCTGCGCCCCACCAGGGCACCGGCAGCAGGAGACTCCCACACGCAAACGCCTCCTGCTGGGCGCGGGGCTGAGCACGGGGAGGAGTTTCCAGGAGGGATGATCCAACACGTGGGGATCGCAGAAAATCATACATGCCCAGCCCTGTCCACCCCTGCCCGCCCTGTCCACACCTACCCGCCCCTGCCTGCCTCTGCCCGCACCTCAGCCTGCCCATGTCCGGTGGGCTGCAACCAAGGCCATGTACTCACGCTCGATGAGGAAGAGGAAGCATACTATGCCCATTGCCGCCACGATGGCCCCGGGCACGACGAAGGACAGGCCCCAGCAGGTGGACACCCAGTAGCCGGCGATCAGGGACCCGAGGATGTTGCCCACAGACGTATGTGAGTTCCAGACGCCCATGACCAGGCCTCGCCTGCAGGACACATAAGACACGCAGGGAAGCAGGGCGTGAGGCTCCCGCAGTCCACAGACACGCAGGGAAGCAGGGCGTGAGGCTCCCGCAGTCCACAGACACGCAGGGAAGCAGGGCGTGAGGCTCCCGCAGTCCACAGACATGCAGGGAGGTCCCACCCCGGGCAAGTGGGCATCGAGAGGCTCGTGGGAAGCAGGCCCTGCCTATGGCCCCTTTATTGTACAATTCAAAAGGCAGGAAGCCTCTTCCTGAAAGCCCCGAACAGTGTTGGTAACAGAAGTCAAGGTGCACGCTGGGCAGTTACCCAGGCACCCACAGGGCACGTTGGGCCCGTGACTCAGCTGAACACTTGGGATGAGCATCCCAGCTGGGCGTCCTGGCTGGCTGTCCCATCTGGGTGTCCCGGCTAACTGTCCCGGCTAACTGTCCCGGCTGGCTGTCCCGGCTGGCTGTCCCGGCTGGGTGTCCCCGCTGGGTGTCCTGGCTGGCTGTCCTGGCTGGGCGTCCCCACTGGCTGTCCCGGCTGGGCGTCCCCGCTGGGTGTCCTGGCTGGCTGTCCTGGCTGGCTGTCCCGGCTGCGTGTCCCGGCTAACTGTCCCGGCTGGCTGTCCCGGCTAGGCATCCCGGCTGGGTGTCCTGGCTGGCTGTCCTGGCTGGGCGTCCCCACTGGCTGTCCCGGCTGGGCGTCCCCGCTGGGTGTCCCATCTGGGTGTCCCAGCTAGGTGTCCTGACTGAGCTGTGTCCCTTTTTCTCATCCCAGAGTCAGAATGCAGAACTGGGACCCCGTGCTGCAGGCTGAGAGGAGACTGGGGATTTTTCAGACACTCGGCCTGGGCTCCCCACTCTGCACCTCCCACCGGCCCCAGCATTTCCACACTCTGTTTTGAAGAGGAGCCATTTAACCATCAGGAGCCTCAAGGGGTCTGTTTTTTTTTTTTTTTTTTTTTTTTTTTATCAGAATCTGCTAGAAAAGCAATACAGTGGGAAACCCCAGCCATTTCCTCTTACCTTCCTTTTCCAAACCAGTTGCCAAGGCAGGTGACGACGCTGGGCCAGCCGGTGGTCTGCACCAGCCCGTTGATGACCTGCATTGGGATAAGGGCGGGAGACATGGTTTAGTGGGGTGGCGGGGGAGGCCCCATGTTCCATTCCCCTGGGAGCTCCCCTGGGACTCACACACAGGGAGGCCTCAGCAGGCAGGGCCGTGTGCCAAACTGCTTCTTTATGTGTGAGTGTGTGATGCGAATACAGAACCAGAAACAGGAGGACACGTGTCGGTAGAAAAGGAAGCTGGGGGATGATGTTAGTTTGGGGCCAACAACAATTTTCAAATTCATGCCTACTTTTTTCAAAAAATGTTTTTATTTATTTTTATTGGAAAGTCAGATATACAGAGAGGAAGAGAGACAGAGAGGAAGATCTTCCACCTGCTGATTCACTCCCCAAGTAGCTGGAACGGTTAGAGCTGAGCTGATCTGAAGCCTGGAGCCAGGAGCCTCCTCCATGTCTCCCACACGGGTGCAGGGTCCCAAGGCTTTAGGCTGCCCTCAACTGCTCTCCCAGGCCACAGGCCGGGAGCTGGATGGGAAGTGGAGCTGCCGGGACATGAACTGGCACCCTTAGGGATCCTGTCGCATGCAGGGTGAGGACTTTAGCTGCTAGGCTACTGTGCTAGGCCCTACTTTTTTTTTTTTTTTTTTTACTAATTTTTTTAAAAAACCTTCTGCACCAATTTTTTTTAACTCCAAAATAAATTGATATTTTTAGTTCATATTTTCCAAGAACATCTTGAAGTGCCCTCACAGATGACACATGAAACACAGAGCTATTTCAAGTACATTTGCTCACTTTAGAATGCTACTTGCTGGAACACTTTACTTCCTGGTGCAGCCTGCAGAGCCACACCCCTTCTCGGAGCGCCGGTTCAAGTCTGGCCTGTTCCTCTTTCTACGCAGCGCTCTGCTCCCGTGCCTGGGAGGCAGCAGAGGACGGCTCAAACCCTTGAGTCCCTGACGCCGTGAAAGACCAGACGGAGCTGCTGGCTTCAGACTGGGCCAAGCTGTTGTGGCTGATTGAGGAGCGAGCCAGGGATGGAAAACCCTTTCCTTCGCTCTGCCATGCTTTCAAATAAGCAAATAAATCCCGCTGTGGATATTCCAGAGTAAGAAGAGGAGACCTGGCCAGGCAGTAACCCGGCTACCAGCCCAGCTCCGTGCAGGCCAAGTACGTCACCCTGCAGACCTGGCTCATCGAGGCAGGCTGCCCTCGTTGAACCCGGAAGAAGGAAGTGTCACTCTGTGTCCTCCTAAGGGCATGACCTTCGCCTTGCAGGAGGCACGCCAGCCCTTCCCGGCATGCGCAGGGCTCACTTCTCGGAGGGACACAGGAAGGAGGAACTCTGCTTGGCTCCTCTGAGGGCCGGGGCAGCTCCAGGGGGCGCCAGTGGGCAAGGCCTGGCAGGTCTCCCACAGATGGCCGGCAGGGGCAGGGAGGCATACGGGCCCTGGCTGACCAGGCTGGGCTGCACCCCGGGGACAGCTTCGCTTTCTTGCAGTCCTGTGCTTGGTCCCTCTGTGCTCCCTGCAGGTCCTGCCGGGCTCGAAGCAGAACTGCAGCGGGGGTGGGGGGGGCTGGCTCTGTCCTGAACTGGCAGACTCTGTTCTCCTGGCGACCCCACTGGCTGCAGCACACTCACGCCACCCCAGCGCCCCCAGCCTCAACCGACACAGGGCTGCCCCCTCTAGGCAGGTGTGTGTGGTCCCGTGACACCAAGAGCCCACCCATTCACCACCAGGGACCCTTCGCGTGGCGAAGCCAGAGCCCCCGGCCCGTACCTGAGTCACCACGTAGAAGCTCAGGCTGTGCACGTCATAGAAGTAGCCGAGCCCGAAGAGGGCGGTGAAGGCGCCGCTGGCCAGCATGCCGAACGTCAGGTAGTACCTGATGGGCAGGCGCTCCCCGATGATGCCGCTGCGGAGAGGGGAGGGCGGCTGTGAGTGGGCCGTCCTGCCCGGCACAGCAAGGTGGCCCTGGCTCTCTCGCTCTTCTTCCAGCTTCCAGATCCTGGAGGAGCTGTCGTTTCCAGGAAGGACACGTGGGTCCTTTCGGGCCACTGGCTCCCAGAACCCACGCCCTCACAGCCGCACGCTGTGGCTTCCCTAGCCCGCCTGCCAGCATCTGGAAACGCAAATTCAGCCCGCTGGTTCATCCTGCTCCTATGCAGCCAACACATCGCATCTCACAGCTCCAACTGCCAAACCCGAGCACAGAAAACGTCCCCCAAAGCAGACTGCTACAACCTTGAACATGCCGCTCAGCCCCAGAACTGTAACGACGCCATGTGCATGGGCGCGTGGGCTGGAAGGACACCTGGCGGGGTAGGGAACCTTGTCCCTCGAGGTGACCGCCTTCTGCTAGCCACCCTTACCCGTCTCCGACACTGCAAGTCCCCTCACCCCATGAGGTAGGACTGGGTCCACGGGGTGGGGTACAATCTCTCCACTCCCCTTGAGCAGTAATGGGGGGACCTTGGAGCTGCGCTATGGCCAGGAGGGTGACGCCGCCAGTCCTGCCCCTTGGCACATGTTCAGCAGGCTCCCACCACCCTCGCCTAACACCACCTACACTGACACACACCTCGCACTTGCTGCACTGTCGTAACGGGATGTTACCTGTGGGACGACACCCTGACTTTCCTAGCGAGCGAATGAGACACAGATGGTGCCAGCTATGCTGGAGCTGCCCCGGCAGTTGCTGGGAACACTGCGGATGCCACCATCCTTAGCTTGGCCCCTCTTGGAGCCTGACAAGCACGGCCCGTGGGGCACATACACCCGCATGCCTGTTGGGGTGCCCCAGGAGGTGGTGCTGGCATCCTCTCCACACACATCCGCCCTGAATCACCACACCACTGGCCTCTTCAACACCGAAGCAGGGTGGAGGAATTCAGCGTTATAAGCAGCAGCTGGGCCACACCAGCCACGTGTGGCTCACGGGTTTTCTGCTTCGATGTGCTCATCTCAGGTTAGGACCCATTTCCTGGACCGGGGAGCCGGGACCACGAGCCAGGACTTAGTGATGCTGGCCAGCCTTCCCGCATGCCCTGGATCCGCCTTGACTCTGTTACAGGCCACAAAGAACAGGCCCACCTCCTGTTGTACCAGTCAAGGTGCACCTGCTGGGACCTGCCAGACGGACCTGGGTGTCACACTCGACCCCCTGCCTGCCGCACAGAACCAAACGACCCCCAAGGCTATCTGCTCGGGCAGCAGCGACACACAGGTGCATGGTCACGGGACTGGGGTCCTAGCAGAGGCCCCTTTGACGAAGTCCGGGGCCAGGAGACTTCTTTGGGGGGCGGTGTGGACATGTCTCATCGGATGGAGCGTTGTTTCAGTAACTTTGTCAATGAACCCTGTTGAACAGCTAGCTCCGCCAGCGAAAGCAATGAATGCCATGCGACCGACCTGGCTTGCTGGGGCTGGGGCTGCTGGGTCTCGGAAGGCAGAGCCCTCCGTGTGCTGGGGGAGAGTGGCCGCAGCCCTTGGTGCCTTCCTGCCTATGCCCACATGGCTTCCTTTCCTGACCTAGCTGCCCTGTGAGCCTGAGCTTCAGCTCGCCTGGGGAGCTGGCTGCCTGGGCACCCTGGGCCACCACACCCCTCCCCGCTCTGCAGAAGCACAAATGCTGGGGGCTTTTCATGTCCCTTTACATACCCAGTGAAGGGGGTACTGCACAGACCACCTGGCCCCCCAGCTCCGTGGTCTTGGGGATCCCTCCAATTCCCAAGGTGCCGAAGACCTCCGCAGCGCAGCCTTGTGTGTCAGGTGGCCGTGCCCCGGCTGCTTTCTGGCCAGGGCTGGCTCGCGGACACGGCCGATGCCCATTCCTCACATGTTGCCACTTATCCAGGCCACGCCAGGAAGAGGGGGCACTGTGTGTCCCTGTCCACCTGCTTTCGCCTCAGTCCTAAGACACAGCAACTCGCCCGAGGCCGCACCCTGGAGGATGGGCTGGGGTCGTGGTTTACAAGCGCGGTGTGGGGCTCCTCGGCCTTGGGGGTGGAGCAGGGCACCACATGTCCCAGCCCCTTCCCAGGCCACAGGAAAGTGGCCTGCCAGCGGAGCTGCACGCCCGCTCCGGCCCTGCCGACCTACCTGAGGTACATGCCCACGGCGTACGCACACAGGAAGGAGTAGTCCAGGGCCCCGAGCAGCTGCTGGTAGTTGCTCTTATCTGTAGGGTGGGAGGTTGGGGGGGACGGTCAGTGCGGCCGTTACTGCTCAGGGGTGTGGCTACTGACACACGACCGGCAGTGTGCGGACAGCAGAAGTCGTCCTGATCCTGGTGACCCCCAAACGCCAGGGAGAGCACATCCTGGCCCCTCACCCGTAGGCGGGAGGGAGACTTCCTGTTGCTGCCTCCGGGATGCCTCCCCTGCTCTCCCCCCAACCTCCAGGCTGACCAGTGGTGGACAGCAGGGCTGCCCTAGGCCAGGCATTGCCATGGAAACACTGCAACGCTTGCTGCTGAAGCGGGTCCAGCAGACACTCACCGAATGGTGCCCAGCCACAGTCTGTCTGGTTGACTTGGAGCTGGCGAGGGGGCGCGTAGCCGGCTCTGCCGCCATCGCCGCTGGATCTGACGTCAGCCTCGTCCCAGGTGGTGCAGTACTTGTGCAGCTCGCCCTGGGGGACACAGGGCATGACTGAGCACAGCTGCCCCTCCTGCTGGGGCAGGGAGTGAGTCCCGGGGGTGGCGGAGGGCACCTGCTGCTGAGGGGTGGTCTTGGCAGGACCCCTCAGCAACTCCACTGTACACACATGGCCACCAAGGACAAGGACACCTGCAGGGTGTTGGTGAGAGCTGGCCCTGGGGCCTGGGCACTGCCCGGTAGGCAGGCAGCACCTGGGCACAGGGAAGAATGGGACCTTTTCCATGGATTCAGGCTGCCAAGCAAGAGCCCGGGCAGCCAAAGCGGCCTCCTGTTGCATGACGCCCTGGATCACACAGACCACGCATGGGGACAGCAGTGAGGCCTATGGCTGCCTGGGGGAGTGGACTGTGGGGACGGGCCTCAGGAGCCTACCGGGACCACTAGACCACCACGAGGTATGTGGAGCCAGCGAGTGCCAGGGCACAGGAGGAGGGCATAGGGGAGCAGGGTAGGAGCACAGCCACGGCCTGGGAGCTCCAGGATTGGCTGCTGCCAGCCTGCTGCGCCTCTCCGGGTCTCGCCCACTCTTCTCCCAAACCGTCATTTGTGGGGGGACAGGAAGTGGCCCCTACAGAAGCCAGGCGTCCTCACAGGGCCCAGGAGACTTGAGGGGTGGCCTTGCATGAGCTGGCACCAGAGGGTGGCCAGCGGCCTGTAGGGCAGAGAGCTGGCTCTGGGGTTAAGGTGCAGCACCCAGGCAGGGAGCCCCACACTCACTGCCCAGCCTCACTGTCAGGAGGCAGCTGGACATACAGCTGGTGGCACGTCCCTGAGGCCTTGCACACACAGGTGGTCTTATGGCTCTGTCACCAGAGCTGGGCTGTCCTGTTGTCAACACTGTTTGGGAATGCTTGCCCAGCCTTCTGCCTGGCAAACTTACCACCAGGCTACAGCCAGCTGTCCCCAGAGACACCGGGTGCTGGTCTCTGAGCAGCACTGCTGGCCACCTGCTGTGCCCTGGTCCCCTGCTCTTCCCCCAACCCCTCTGGAGGTCAGGGGCTTCTGCCCACTTTTCCCGAGGGCAGTCAGGCCACACCCACGGGACCTAACTGCGGCTGTTCACAACTGGAGCTGAGACTGAGCTGAAGTGAGTTCCAATGTCACGTTTGGCCGCAGAAGGGCCTGAGCTGGGACCTCGGCCACCGTGCTCAAGGCCCCAGCCCCCGTGAGCATATGCTGCCCCCCAGGAGACCTGCTGTGACTATGTCAGGGTGACAGCTGTGACACAGCCCTGCTGTGGACCTGGAGTCCAGGCTGCGACACAGCCCTGCCATGACCTGGAGTCCAGGCTGTGACACAGCCCTGCCATGACCTGGTGTCCAGGCTGTGACACAGTCCTGCCGTGACCTGACGTCCAGGCTGCGACACAGCCCTGCCATGACCTGGAGTCCAGGCTGCGATACAACCCTGCCATGACCTGGTGTCCAGGCTGTGACACAGCCCTGCCGTGACGTGACGTCCAGGCTGCGACACAGCCCTGCCATGACCTGGAGTCCAGGCTGCGATACAACCCTGCCATGACCTGGTGTCCAGGCTGCGACACAGCCCTGCCATGACCTGACGTCCAGGCTGTGACACAGCCCTGCCGTGACCTGGTGTCCAGGCTGTGACACAGCCCTGCCGTGGACCTGGTGTCCAGGCTGCGATACAGTCCTGCCGTGACCTGACGTCCAGGCTGCGACACAGTCCTGCCATGACCTGGTGTCCAGGCTGCGATACAACCCTGCCATGACGTGACGTCCAGGCTGCGACACAGCCCTGCCATGACTTGGAGTCCAGGCTGCGACACAGCCCTGCCGTGACTCCGTGTCCTGGCTGCTGGGGGAATTTGAATACAGCGTGTTAGTTCCAGCCAGCTGCTGTGCTCAGTATTTCCATGGCTCATACCCCACACGTGGTGTGGGAGCACCCTGCCAGGCTCCTGTGAGCTGAGATGTGCAGGACCCCTCCCAGCCACGTGCTTGCACAAGTGTCTGTCACCACACCGGGTGTCCTTGAGTCCTTTCTATCCCATAAAAGCGGTTTCCTTGTAATCCATTTACAGGAGAGCTTTCAGCAAGGCGTGAATCAAGCTGCTACCCCAGCCAGCTAATTCACACTGCGTCACGGGACACACCCGAGGAGAAGCCCCTGGGAGCTGCCACCACCCCAGCACAGCAACAAGAAGCCACAACAAACTGGGTTGTATCTGGAGGGTGGCAGCCAGGGTGCAAGGTGCTAGAAGAACTGGGCATTGTGGGAGGCTGGCACAGACACAGAAGGGGTACAGTGAGTGGGCGACAGGCACAGAAGGGGGACAGTGGGAGGGCACCTTTGCCAGCAGAGTCCCTTCCCGCAGTGCATTGGCCCTTACTCCTTAGGCAGTTGGGGGACGCCACCTCCAGGAAGCAGCAAGGGCTTCCACCTGCAGTGGGCACTGGAAGGACTGGCCCGTGGTGTATCCACTGACACAGACTTGGGCAGCCACCGGGCATCTGTGCTGTGTCCACCGGCAGCTGGTACAGACTTAGAATGCAAGCAGGACAGAACCACAGGGCCAGGAGGGACACCAGGAGCTGCTTCTGAGAGGGGTGATGGGGCAGGGGATTTGGGCAGCCCCTACATACTTGGGGGAAGACGGGGGCCCTGCATGTATGTGTGGGGTGCGCAGAGTGCAGGGAATGACACATTCAGCTCACTTCACGTGGTCACTAGATTGTGCTGGCTCATTCATTCTGAGGCATCCTCCTGGGGTGGGTGGCACACACAGTGCTGGGCACCACGGGGACCCCTGTGTCCCGTACTTGGGGGGACATTCCAGTCTCCCCCCATGTGTCCCATTCAGCTTCCTGCTGACCCCTGGCTCCCGGCACCGGCCAAGCCCAGCCGTGGCTTCTGTGAGCACGGTGGATGAACCAGCAGATGGGGTCTCAGCATTAACTGGCACCTGTAAACACTGCTGAACTTGAGCCCTGTGATCTGTCTGCTCCTCCCCTTCGCCGACTCTGCTTCCAACCTCACACTGAGATGGGCCTTGTCTGTCCAGTGTTTTCATCTTACCCTTTCAAATCTTTCTTCCATCTTTTTTCCTGGAAGGGCGCAGGTAAGGCAAGATTCAATTTTTATCTCTTCTAGACATAATGTCTGCTGTGCCAACACCATTCCTTCATCAGCCACACTAGTCTGTCGCCTGTCACAGCTGTCATTTCTATTCTGTTCAACACCTTTCTCTCTATATCCGTGCGGCACAACTGATGGGGTATTTGGGAATCCATTCTTTTTCATATCTTTATCTTGTATCATAAAAATGTTATCTTTTCCACACTTGCCTGGGTGATTCATTCCTAGCCATTCTTTCATATGAACTTTTTAATATAAAAGACTTAAATGTTTTGATTGGAAAGGTAGAGAAGATTTTTCAGAGAAGGAGAGACAGAAAGATCTTCCATCCACAGGTTCACTCCCCAAGTAGCTGCAAGGGCCAGAGCTGAGCTGATCTGAAGCCAGGAGCTCTTCCGGGTCTCCCAAGTGGGTGCAGGGTCCAGGGCTTTGGGCCATCCTTGACTGCTTTCCCAGGCCACAGGCAGGGAGCTGGATTGAAAGTAGAGTAGCCAGGACTCAAACCAGCACTCACACTGAGGGTTTTATAGGTCTTGTATAGGTCCCTTGTGCACACAGGGGTGGGCCCTCAGACCATCCAAGCCACTCCTCTGCCTGGCGCCAGGGTGCCCGCAGCCTGAGCTCTAAGCCGCTGGTCGGCATGTTTCTGCTGTGGTCCCCCTAGATCCCACGTGGATCTGCCACTTGGCGCGGGACACCTGCCCCAAGTTGCGAGGTTGGGCTACGGGAGGGAGAGAAGGCGGCAGGGAGGTGGCTGCTCCTCTCAGCCATCCTCCAAACCCTGATTCCGCCGTCATTTAAAAAATATTTCATTTATTTGAAAGGCAGAGTGACAGAGAGGAAGAACCTTCCAATTATAGCTTACTGCTCCGACAGCCGCAAAGGTCAGGGCTGGGCCACATCCAGCTAGAATCCAGGAGCCAGATCTAGGTCTCCCACATGGGTATAGGGTCCAAGCTCTCGGACCAGGCTTGACTGTATTAGCAGGGAGCAGGATGGGAAGTGGAGCAGCTGGAATTTGAACCCATGCTTTAATATGGGATGTTGGCGGTACAGGCAGCAGATGAACCTGCTACACTCCAAGGCAGGACAGGAGATACAGTGTTTATAGAGGATTTATCTAGAGGCTGGTGCTGTGGCACAGTGGGCTAACCTCCCATGTGGGATGCCCACAGGCCCTACCAGAGCGCCCAAGGCTGAGTCCTGCTTCATGGCTCCCTCCGCACCAACTCCCTGCTAAGGTGCGCCTGGAAGAGAGCAGCTGTTCCATTCCAGGAGACCCAGGCTGCAGGTCTCAGGCAGGCACAAACACTGTACCTTAGCTCATGCTGTTTACGCATGAGCTACAGCAAGTGAATGCCCAGCGCGCAGTGAGGAATCGTGGGGTGTGGGCAGCTGTGTGCGGTGCAAAGCTCTTATCTAGGAGCTTGAGCCTGAAGCGAGGGTGTGCCCAGGCATGGGCCAGCGTGGTCAGATCCTGGGTGAGCTAGTGTCAGCTTGGAGCTGCCCATCTGCTGGGAGTGAAGCCCCCCCAGGGGGACACAAGCTGGGGGTGGCCATGGGAGACCCTGGAGTGGGCGTCTCGGAGATTTCTGAGCCAGGCAGGCCCAGGGTATGTGGCAGGGAGGACCCGCTCCCTCCAAGGCCACTCTCAGGGTGGGGCACGAAGTGTGCCCTGGGTATGGGCACCTTGGAAGGGCTGGCCTCGAGATGCCATGGTGGCCGGGTCCTCTTTGGGAGCTGCCTGGGAAGGTGACCGCAAGGGGAACCCCTAAGACTGTCAGCCAGACCCTCCTACGGCCAGCCCACGACTGTCCCGACGGATGGGCAGCTCCAGGCCGATACTCTCTCCCTGCATATGGCACTGGTGTGCTCACCCACCAAGCTGGGTGGGTGCTGTCTGCTCTCCCCAGCAGCCCAAACTGCCCCGCAAAGGCTCCCCAGGCTGCCCGTGGGCTCTCAGCTCCCCGGGGCTCGCCATGGCCCTGCAGACATCTGTACGTTTCCCTAAGTGCGAAGTGGCAGCATTGGGCCTCGCAGGGGCCAGTCCCTGTGACAGTCGCTGGCAGAGGATTCGAGCATTCCTCAAGGTGTCCAGTCCCGCCGCGCTGTGTCTGTGAAAGCTACAGCTGTAAACTTCTCCTTAAGCATGGAAAGTCCTGCCTCCCACGATGCATGGCCCATGGGCAAGGTGGAACAGCACCTGCGAAGGTGCCACTGGACTCCACGCGGTCTCCCATAGCCTACGTCATTACCAGCTTGGCAGCTGCCCGCCCGCCCAGCTGTCAGACACACCCAGGGTGCTGGGAACCAGAGGGACTGTCCACAGCCAGGCTGCGGGGGAGGTGGCATTCCCAACAGGCTTCCTGAGCACACCCCAGCGCGTCTTACCTTCACTATGCTGATGGGCTTGCGGGACAAGTGGAAACTCGCATACAGCACGAAGGTCAAGGTGAAGATGAAGGCTCTGTACCTGCAACGCCGGACAGCAGGTGTGAGCACAGGAGGACAGCAGTGGTGTCATTGTCCACCCCCCACCAGTCAGTCCTGATCACAGAGCACTGGCATACCACATGTGTTGTCACACTGGCTTGTTTAGAGTGAAATTCCTTCAGATACGGTCAAAGTAACCCTTTCTGATCATCACCAGCAATGCTGGTTGTCCTCTAACCCATGCCAACCCTGCTCGCCACCCCACCGTTTGATGTCAGCCCCCTGACCGCTCCACCCCCTTCAGCAGCCGCAGGTGGAACCTCGAGCCTGTGATGGGTTGCTGTGAACCTGGGGTTCCCTGGTTTGCTGGGGCAGCTCCCAGCGCTCTGCGGAACCCTCTTTCCCCATCTGCACACTTCCTGTAAAGGATGAAGCAAAGGGCACAGACGGGCACCAGAGGGGCACATGGGGAGAGTGGTGGGTCCTGGGCTGGGGTACTGCCACTAGGAAGCTCTTTGAACCTTGCCCTGTAGCGGGTTCTGGGGGGCCTGACTGTAGGATCAGAGTGATTGACACTCCATAGCCCCACCTCCTCCTGACACCAGTGATTGATGCCTGGAAGCCACGCCCCCTCCTGACTGCACAGCCACAGGTAATGGGCTCACCCTGTGGCAGAGCTGGGGTCACTTGGGTTACCCGAGGGACCCAAGAGCCGCAGCCACCCATCACCTCCTTTGCACACACAGCATGCTCGTCCCTGTAGAGATGCCCAGGGCAGTCGGATGCCAGACAGATGCCCAGGGCAGTCGGATGCCAGGCAGATGCCCAGGGCAGCTGGGTGCCAGGAGCAGGTGCAGAAACTAGATACGGATGTTCTCATTCGTCCTCATGAGGCCAGGCACGTTTGTAACACGATGACCAAGCAGAGAGAAATGTGGGGCTTGGAGGACGTGACGTCTGCTCCCCAAGCTCACGTCAGGGGCTGCTGTCTCCTGCCACCCGCTTGCCGTCTGGGCATTAAGATCATGTTTATTTTTGGCTGCTTAGTTTCTACGCAACCTTCCAGAGCTGACATAAATATCACAGTGACCTCGATGGGAGAAAGTGAGCGAGGCCGGCCAGCTCCGCCCGAGGCCCACAGAAACACTGGGACAGCGCCTCACTGCCCTGGGCGTGAGAGGGCCGGACACCTGCAGGGGGACGTGGGGCGCAGGCAGTCGCTGAGCTCCCTCGCCCACCACCCCTGTGGGCAACGCACTGAGCCTGGAGGAAGGGTTGTTTGAACCCCTCAATCCTCCCTGTCCCCCCCCCCCCGCCCCACCATCTCAGGCTATCCCAGTCTGCTGGGTGATGACACAGCAGGGGGTGGCGCCCCAGACTCCAGCTTCCAAGCTCTCCAGCTGGGGAGCCCGAATACAGTCAACACACACGTTCCCTTCCACTGCCCCCACACACCTCGGGGTGCTGGTGTGGGTAGATCCCAGGACCCCACACTTTCCCAGCCTGCCAAAGCTCCCCTGCCTTTCCTACCTACACCATGCTCACCAGTCACTTGTATGACAACAGGACCGGGAGAGACCATGAATGACCTCAACTGACCCTGTCTTGGAACTGAGTCCTTTGCTTTTAAAAAACAATAATATTTGAGAAGCTGAGAGGGGGGTGCCCGCTCTGCTGCCTCACCCCCCAAGCCTGCAATGGCCTGCCCTGGGCAGACACCGGGAGTTGGGAACTCAGTCCTGCTGTCCCACGCGAATGGCAGGGACCCAACCACCTAAGGCATCCCTGTACTCCCCCGAGGCGTCTACAGGGGCAGGACACAGGTCTGGAGCCACAGTGTGGGGCTGTGAAGCAGGACACTAGCCCCCCCAGTTCTTAGACGGAGCAGCCTGCAGTAACACGCGGGGCACCTCTGCTGAGCCCTGGCTGCAGGTGCCTGCCCCCATTCTGCTCTCACCCCAGAGGACCGGAACTTCACAGGTCCTCCAGGATGAGGGGATTCACAGCGTGGCTCCTCAGAGGGGCCTTCAGGGCCTGCCCACGGAGGGAAGACAGAGGAGGGAGGAGGCAGGAAGGCCCTGACATGCACTGTGTTGGTTGGGGGATCAGGCCTGGTGGCCACTCAGAGCCCCCTCCCTCCCTGGCCATTCTGCAGGTAGTGCCACTGGCCCAGTGACTCAGCAGCACAACCCCTGGCTGGGGATGCTGAGACGGAGTGCATCTGGGGTGTGCACAGATGTGCAGGACCATGCTGGAGCAGCACCTGCTCCGAGAGGTGAAACACCCTTACAGGGTAGGATCCCTTCCGGAAGGTCAGCGGGGGGCTCAGACTGTCCGGCAGAATCAGGGTGACAGGCACTGTGTGTGGCGAGCTGGACTCCTCCCAGACAGGAGATAAGACTCCTCCTACAGGGGAAAAGGTTGTCTTCCTTTAGCCGCTATCCGGCCAACTCCACTTCCTCTGTTTCCAAACCCATCCTCCCCTGCTTGCCTCATCTTCGCATGGGACTCCATGCGCTTATAGAGTGCAAGGACTAGGGCTGGGCCACACTGTAGCCAGGAGCTTCTCCTGGGTCTCTCATGTGGCTGCAGGGGTCCAAGGCCTTGGACCAACCCCTGCCGCTTTCCCAGGCCACAAGCAAGGAGCAGCCAGGACAGGAACCAGGGGTCGTGTGGGGTGCTGGTTGTCGTGGGGTGCAGCCGTTAGCGACCCCTCAACTCCGGCCCCACGGTTTCCTTGCTGGTCAACTGAAGTGTCTAATGACTAATTTCTACCACACCATCTTGCCCGGCAACCCTCTGAGCTTTAAGGAGCCCACGCACAAGTCTCCAGCCTGCACTGTCCTTGCTGGGAGGGCGTAGAGTTCTTTTTACCTGGCTCCTGGCCTCAGTCAGGCCCAGCCCTGGAAGGGACAGCCTTTTCCTGGGTCAGGAATGTGGGGTGTGCACTCATGCTGTGAGGGTGTGGACTGCTTCACAGTCCTGGCTGTTCCACTTCTCATCCAGCGTCCTGCTAGTGCAGAGGGTCCAAGTGCTGGGCCCTGCTCCCACTGGATGGGAGACCCACATGGAGCTCCTGGCGCCTGGCGGGCCGGGCCCTGAGCGCCGTGGCCATTCGTGCTGGGCCCTGCTCCCACTGGGTGGGAGACCCACATGGAGCTCCTGGCGCCTGGCGGGCCGGGCCCTGAGCGCCGTGGCCATTCGTGCTGGGCCCTGCTCCCACTGGGTGGGAGACCCACATGGAGCTCCTGGCGCCTGGCGGGCCGGGCCCTGAGCGCCGTGGCCATTGGGGGAGTGAACCAGTGGGTGGAAGCTGTCGCTCTCAGTCTTTCCCTCTCTGTAATTTTTTCAAGTAAATACATAATTCCTTTTTAAAAAAGTTATTGGGATTTGATAGAATCTTAAATTGGGACTGTGGATTAGATAAGAGTCCCTTATTGCTCTTGAATGTCCCGATGTTAATCTTTGGGCTGTGCTTCCATAACAGAATGTCTTGTTCACAGTGAACACACCCAGGAAAGCACTCAGAAGGAACTGGCCGAGCAATGGCGTGTGGATGGTTCATAAAGGAGGGTGTGGGCACACGCACTGCTTAACAAGGGGCAGGGGGAGAAGTAACAGAGGCAAAAGGTTGGCTGGATCCCAGCCCTACAGGAGTTTGGAGTTTATTGTAACAGGCTTACCAATGTCAGCACAGGACTGTGTTGAGCTTCAAGTTGCTACAAAATCAAGTTACAAAACAAAGCTCAAGAGGAAAGCCCCAACACTTGGAGCTAGCTTGACAGAGCCTAATGGCCTGGGGCAGGTGTGGGAGTAGGGGGCGGAAGGGGGGTGCCGGGCTGTGGTGCCTGAAGTGGCCTTTGGGGGTGCCCGGAATAGGGTCCCAGTGCTCCGCTCCAGTCCCCCTTTAATGTCCACCCTGGGAGGCAGTACATGGTGGCCTGTGTACTTGGGTCCCTGCCACCCCTGTGGGAGACCTGGTGGGGCTCCTGGCTTGGGCCTGGTCCAGCTCTGGCTGGTGCAGGCATCTGGGAAGTGAACATGTGGGTGGAAATCTCCCTCTCTGTATCACTCTGCCTTTCAAATAATAATTTTTTTTAAGTGAGAGGAGGATCAGCAGGGATGGATCTGGGTCAGGAGTGTGATATCAAGTCAAATCCGACGCCCACCGGGGGCAGGGGCGATGGGAGCTGCAGAGTGCTGCCGGAAGGAGACCAACAGAGCACGGCGTGGGCTTGGGAGCTGTTTTGCCAGCTGTGGTCATTCAAAGTCGTGCCTATAAATGCCCTGCCCAGCCCGGCCACTGCGGGGCCAGCATTCACCGCTGCCATGGGACGACTCTGTCAGCAGCCGGTGGGCCCCTTTTCACAGTCGCGACCACCATGGAAACTGCAGAGGCTTACGAGAGGCACCTGCAATGCCTGGGTCAGGTCTCCACTGCGCCCCAAGAACACCGACTCACCACTGGTCCCTGGAGAAGGAGACGAAGAAGCGGATGCCCATGGGGAGCCGAGCCATCTACGCTGCTGCTGACCTGGGTCGTGCCCGCCGGGTCCCAGTGTCACCCCAAGGCTGCAGGGCATGCACGTGGGGGCGCGGGTCCTCCTCCTTTGGGCCCTGTGAGCTGCAAGCAGAGAGGCATTGAGAATCACGTGCCCACTTGCCGTGGGTAACCATGGAGCTTCCCGCAGGACTCGGCTCCCAGTGGATGGGGAAGACGTTTGGTCTTGTCTTCAAAGCACACTGGATGAAAACCCAATCACCCCTGAAGCCGGAGAACCTTCTAGCATTTATGAGCTGGGCACAGAGAAGTGGGCGAAGCACTGGAGGAACCCAGCATCTGACTGTGGCCAAACGGAAGTCCCCACTGCTGTGGGCAGACCTGCCCCCTCTGTCTGCCTCTTTGTTTCTCAAGACCTCTTCAGGAAGGTGAAGGGCAGGGTAGGATGGGGAGGAATGGGGAAGGAAGCCTGGGGCACGCCTGGCGGGCCGGGTCAACCTGGCCAAAGCTCCTGTCCAGGCCTGCATCTCCGAGTCGCATCGGCAGCACGCAGGCCTGGGTGGCTGTCCCCTCCACAAAACCAGGTAAGTTCCTGGTGTAGCCCCACCCCCAGCACACCTTGACCTTTCCCTATAGCCCCAGAGGGCCTCATCCAGGGCTATTCATTCCACCTGGAGTGCTTCTGGCCCGCAGCTGACCCGCGCTGGGTAAGCCCAGGTAAGTCACTTAACCCCTCTGCTCCCGACAGGAAGGGTGGAGCAGTACCAGCTGGCCCTGGCCGGTTCTAGCAGCTGCCTCAGCTGTACCTGCTGAGTGTGCAACCACAAACGCCCCACTGCAACTTTGGATGAGATACCCAGAGTTTGCTAGAATTTTGCTCAAGACAAGCGGCCTCCTTTCTGCGCCTGGAGTGACTTTGGGAAACACTTTCAGGCTGAAAATGAAGCTCTCTTCCTCCAAACGGTGTTCACTGTGCTGAGTAGTCTGAGATTCTGAGCTCCTAAGCCAAGCAGCCACGCAAGCGACCAAGCAGCCTCAGTTCCACTCTGGCAAGCGGGCAACCAAGTGGCCAACACCTCTTAAAAACACAGTGGGCTTTTCCCTGCAGAACGAGTGACCATGCGGTAAGTTCCCATGGCAGGTGCAACTGTGCTGTGTGAAAACGATGACTTTACAGCTGGGGTGTTAGAGCCACACCCCCACTCCCCCCCACACCGCTGCCAGGGCGGGGGAGCTGCCAGGGTGTGGGGGGGCTCCCTCAGGGGCATCCACAAGCCCACCAGGAAGCAGTAGCAGGAGTGGGCCGGGCTGCTGGATGTTGTGGGGCAAATTCCAGTTTGTCCTGTTTGCCTTGTCACCTCTCCCTACAACCACTTCCTCCTGCCCAGCCCGTGCTGGCCGGGCCAGGGAAGCGGAGCAAGCACAGAACCTGCTAGGAACCCCGGATCTGGCACATGGCCTGGGCACAGGAGAAAAAAGCAAAGAACAGGAAGACCTCCCCAAGATTTAAAAACAATCTCTCTCTGCCCCCCAAGGTGGCGAATTCGGACCTGACTGTACGTCAGACAGCAGGTGGGAAGCAGCCTTCAGGGCATTCCAGCCAACACGTGGACAAGCCCATTCTCCCGGTGCTGCGTGGGGAACGTGGGGCCTGGGGCAGCTCCTGAGTTCCCAGGCGAGACGCATCCAATCACAGCCCCACCTAGTCGCAGCGCGGCCCACAGACACGACTAGTAACCCCACGTTAAGAGCAGCAGGTGAAACTGAGGCCAGAGGAAGGCATGCCTGCCCCGTCCCCACCCCCAAAGTTTTCCTGGTGTCTCTTTTTCTTTGGCCCGAACCCGGGAACACAACTTCTTCCCAGGGCGAGCGTGTCCGGGCTGTGTTCCCTAGGGCCCAAGGGCCATTCCCCCCTTCCCTCAGGATCTACCCCACCACCCAGGAGACCCAAGGGGTCTGCTGAAGCCACACGGCGAGGTATCTGCGGCCTCCACTCCGGGTCTTCTCCATTGTTCTAAAAGGGGGATACTAAGTGGGGGGACCCTATGCACTCACGACTCATCCAACTTCCAACTGGCAGGAAAAGGCACCCGGAAAATCCCGTCCCTCCTCCCAGTCCCCTCTCCGCCATCACCCAAGCGGAAACGCACACCAGGACCTGCAGTTCAAATGCAAAGAAAGCTTGAGCTCGCTACCTTTCCGATCACGGGGATCGGCGCCCCCTCAGGGGCTGCGGGACCTCTCGGCGAGTCTTATCGTCACCCCGGAAGGTCGCGGTTATTTACGCCGGCCGGGAGGCCCGGAGGCTCCGGGAACCAGCTGCTCCACGGAGTGACAAGCCAGAGCCCAGGGTGTGGGCGTCCTAGCCTTGCCGAGGGCTCCTGGCGCCGGCTCCTCCCTGACTCGATGCCGTTGCCTGGTCCCGGAGGAGGCGAATGCGGCGGGCACGCCCACTCCCCATCGCGCGGCAGACAATGCGCGGGGCTCCTCCGCCCGCTCTCGGACCCCAGCTGTCACGGCGGCAGGCCCCGGTAGAGAGGGTTCCCGGCAGGTCAGCTAAGCTCGCCCTTGCCGGAGACTCCGGCCCAGAGCCGGCACCCTGGGCGCCTCCTTGCCCGGCTCCCTGCAGCGTCAGGTCCGGGAACACCCGGCATGGTCGCCTGGGGCCACCTTTCCAATGAGACCTCCTGGAGAAGAGCTGGAGCCGGCCTCCGGCCTTCTCCCAAACAAAACAAAACACAAATCAGAACAAACCAGAAATAAAGAGAGCGCGGGGAGGGGCCGAGGCGGGCGGCGCACAAGCGGCGCGCGCGCGGCAGGTGCGCGCGGCTGCGGCACGGCGGCCGCAGGTGCGGCGACGGGGAGGGGTCCCGCGCCGCCCGCCGGCTCCCGGCCCCGCATCTCACCTGCGCAGCCGGGGCCCCGCAGCACAGCCCGGCGAGACCCGGCGGGCGCTTCCTGCTCGCGACTTCCTGGAGCGGCGCGCCGGCGGCCCCGGCGCCCTTTCGCTTTTCCCGGCCCGCGGGGCGCCGGGCCCGGGCGGCGTTGCCTCGCGGCTCCTCCTCCTCCTTCTCCGCCGCCGCGGCTGGCCCCGGCCCCAGCGGGCGCCCGGCGCTCCCAACGGCTGCAGCGAGGCCAGGCGAGGGCGCCCGCGCGCGCAGTGCCGCTGCACGGGCGGCCGGCTGCGGACACCGCCTGGACATCACCAGGGCAGCCTCCTCGCAGCTGTCCCTCCGGCGGCGCCTTCTCTGGCCCCGTGCCCCACGGGCATCCATGGGCACGTTGCCTGCCGGCCTGCCAGGAGCTCCGAAGGACCCTGTGTCCTCTGGCGGATCTTACCCTGTGGCAGCGAGAGCTGCAGCGACTGTGCTGCGCCCGCGCGCTTGGCGTCCTGTCACGCTGGGCCGGCTGGAGTGACCGCGCAGCCTACAAGGCAAGTCTGAAGAACCTCCGCTCTTGCCGAAACTTGACCTTGGCCGGAGAGGGTAATGGTTGTTTCCTGGGGATACCCGAGAGACACGCCCTGTGGACCCATCCCGCCCGGCCCGGCCCCCAGCAGGCTAACACCCCAAGCCTGGCAGCTTAGCAGCGCCCCTCCCCTCGGACTGCCCCTGGGCCCTGAGGCTGTTTGTCTAGAATGCTCGTGCCGCCGTGTCCCTTGCTCAGCTGAGAGGAGTCCACCACCGCTCTGGGCACTTGGGTAGCAGTGTGGAGCCAGTCTGCTGGGTGGCTTGGCCCAACAAGCCTGCTCGTGGAGTCTTGCTCCCTGGGTCTTCTGACTGCACTGCCGGTGAGCCCCACACGGCCCAGCCCGGCTCCCTTCCTCCTCCCCGGCCTGTGCCCTCCGTCGGGGGGGCCTGGACATGGTCGACCCTCTCCGTGAGCTTGTGCAGCAGCCGCCGCACTCCCGAGCCTTGCTCTGTGTAGACCTGCAGAATGGGGCACCTCCCTTACAGCACCTGCAAAGCCGGATTCCTTAGGAACTAGAAATGGGGCCTCAAACACGCCTGCTGCCCCAGCCCTCCTGGGCCCCGGCTGTTTGTGTGTGTGTCTGTCCGACGCTGGCTTTTCCTGGGGGCGGTGGGAAGGGCCGCTCTGCCTGCAGGCCCTGGCCAGCGGTGACCCTCCCGACTGACCGCAGCAGCTATGGGTTTCCCACCCCCCTCAGGCCATCGCTGGCTGAGGACAGAGAGGAAGGGCTCAGAGAGAAAGGGCTCGGCCCCGGGGTCCACATTTTCTCCCATAAAACATGCTCTTTGGGGACCTGTGTTAAAGTCTTTGCCTTGAAGGCGGTGAGATCCCTTACGGCACCGGTTCTAATCCTGGGAGCCCTGCTTGCCATCCGGCTCCCTGGGAAAGCAGATAGCCCAGAGCACCAACCAAGGTTCAATCCCCAGCTACCGGCAACAGCTGAGGCTGGGCCAGGCTGAAGCCAGGAGTCAGGAACTCCCAGACTTCCCCTGGGTGGCTGACCCACGTGCTTGAGCCCACACCTGCTGCCTGCCAGGACATTAGCTGGGAATGGATTGTAAGTGGAGCACAAAGCCCGGGGCGGAACAGGCGCCCGCACCCCTGCCCCCGCCCAGACGCCCTCTGGTCTGATGGGGGTGTGGATTTTGTATGCATCAACTACTATGCAATTTTTAAACTCTGAGGAGGAAATACATTCCCTATATTTGCATAAAAGCACTTGCTGTCTCAGAAACCTCCCAGCACTTTGATCTCTGCTGCTGTTTGGTCCTCATGCTGTGTGACTCCAGCAGGGTAGCTCAGCTCTGGGGGACCCAGAAGACCTGCGGGGGTGCAGGGAGGGCCCAGGTACCTGCCCCATCACCGCATCCCGGAGGACACGGCAGTGAAAAGCCACGCTTGTTTTAGGAGTAGCATGAGTAGCATGGAGCCCTGCGGGGAGGCATCTGGACAGAACACCCTATCCTGACAGCCATGCTGACTTACACAGGTAGGGGCTCGGTGCACATGATAAACACAGTCCAACCTACTGTGGTACTAGGCACTTAGTACTAGCACTTTCCTGCTAAGGTGCAGAGGCACTAGGTACTCAGCACTACCACTTTTCTGCTAAGATATCATGGTACCTTGGCGGTGAGGAGCATTCTCAGGACTTGAGACCGTTTCTAAACGAGGCATTTGATACCACGTTACCATGGCACACACCTGCAATACCACTTCACAGATGGGCACAGGGGACAGATGACTGACCTGAGCAGATGGCTGACAGGCAGGCAGATGCAGCATGGCTGATCAGGGACTTGGCCAGTCTCGAGAATGGACAGGCATTTCAGAGGAGTGACCACGGGGACTGTGGGAGGGGAGGGCTGGTGGCAGATCCACGTGCAGCCGGGGCAGAGCCGGTGTAGGTAGGCGTGCATCCGGGTCTCTCTGACATGGCTGAGGCCCCAGGCTGCAGGCGAAGGGCTGCTCAGCACAGTGGGGACGGAGGCGGGGTGGACGTGGGCAAATAGACATACAGGTGCAAACACGTGTGTGGGAACATGCATATGCGTGTGTGGGAGCGAGCTACTGCATGTGTGCACATGCATGTGTGTGAACCTGTTCACATGTATACCTGTTTGTGCGTATGTGTGCACGCACGCAGTGCTTCCTGTACATGATGTGTATGGTGAGGCGCCCTTCCCGTTGCTATGACAGCATGCGACGCCTACAGGGGTGCCTTCCTGCTCCCCAGCCACGCCCTCTTTCCTGCCCCCATCGCTTTCCGGCCGGCGATTGGCTGAGGTGCCCTGACAGCACATGACATCTACCAGTGGCTGCTTCCTTCTTTCCTGGCCACGCCCTCTTTCCCACCCCCGTCTCTTTCCCGGACGGCGATTGGTTGAATGCCCTGTCAGTTGCCGAAACCACACGAGAAAGCCCCTCGCCCTTCATTTCCCGGCATCCCAGCTGGCCTCGTCTCCATGGCGACGGCAGACGCGACGGCGGCAGAGGCTGGGGGTCCGACCTAATAGCGTCCCTGGGACCGGGATCGAGGCCGGGGCGCGGCCATGTCGGACTTGGGCTCGGAGGAGCTAGAGGAAGAGAGGGAGAACGATCTTGGGGTGAGTGGGCTGTGGTGGGGGCGCGGGGTGGGGGACCCTGCTGCCCCCCTGTTGGCCCAGGTCTCCCTGGCCGACCCGGCCCTCCCCTGCTGCGTGACACAGGTAACCTCCTGGAAGCTTCCAGAATGCTGAGAGCCCTGCCATGTGTCCCCATGCCCAGGTGGCACTCGGCAGACAGGATGTGGGGGTGTCTTCCTTCTCCTCCCCTTTTCTTGTTCCATTTTTGAAAGAGCTACACTTAGAGATCTTCCACCTTCTGGTCACTCCCCAAATGGTCACGGCGGCCAGAACTGCGTCAGTCCGAAGCCGGGAGCCAGAAGGCTCCTCCAGGTCTCCCACACAGTGCAGGGTCCCAAGGCTTTGGGCCGTCCTCCACTGCTTTCCCAGGCCACAGCAGGGAGCTGGATGGGAAGTGGAGCAGCTGGGACTCGAACAGGAGCCCATTTGGGATACTCAGTGCTTTGCACTGCCACACCACCCCTTGGTGTGTCGTTGGTGGGCAACATGGTATTGCAAGGTGTTCATGTTAAGACCCTTACTGGAGGAATGTGTGCCTAGCTGGTGGTTAACTCGGTGCCCTCCACACAGGCTGATGCACACGGAGTTTCTGTATGAAGAGCAGGGAAGAGACACGCTTGTGCTATGTTTTTTAATTGTTTTATATTTACTACATCTTAGACTAAGGCTACTTGAATCTTGAGTCTTGAGGCTCCTGTCCCGGAGGCCCCACTTCCCATCCAGCTCCCTGCTTGTGGACTGGGAGAGCAGTGGAGGATGGCCCAAAGCCTTGGGACCCTGCACCCACCTGGGAGACCCCGAAAAAGCTCCTGATTCCTGGATTCAAAGGCCTGGCTTAGCTCTGGTCTTTGTGGCCATTTGGGGAGTGAACCAGTGAATGACCAATCTGTCTCTGTCTCTTCTGTAACTTTCAAATTTAAATAAAATAAATCTTTTAAAGAAAATTGAGTCAGTGGATGCCAGAGCCCAGGACCTGTCCATCGCCCTGCCCATGTCGTGGGAATTTCCTTGTGGGGAGTAAGCCAGAAAGCCTGTGGAGGGAGGACTGGCCTCCCTGGGGGGGCACCACCCTTTCCCCTGCACACTGTGGGGCGTGAGCAGGAGAATGGTGGGGCCGAGTGGGGCTGTCCTGCTGCCAGCACCTCTCCAGGCGTCCCTGTGTAGAGGGCACACTTATCCCAGTTCCGTTTGAGCCTGCACTGTGTCAGGGCCGCGGAGCGCCCAGTTAGGGTTCGTCCAGGCTGGGAGCTGCAGGTGCGCCAGCTGGCTGTCTCCTTGCCAGGAGTATGAGGGCGAGCGGAACGAGGCGGGCGAGCGGCACGGGCACGGCAAGGCAAGGCTGCCCAACGGCGACACCTACGAGGGCAGCTATGAGTTCGGCAAAAGGCACGGCCAGGTGAGAGGTGGTGGTGGCGACGGGTGGGCGTCCTGCGTGAGCGCAGGCGGCGGGAACCGGCCGAGGGCCCGCTCCGTGTGTTTCAGGGCGTCTACAAGTTCAAAAACGGTGCCCGCTACATCGGGGAGTATGTCAAGAACAGAAAGCATGGGCAAGGCTCGTTTGTCTACCCGGACGGCTCGCGATATGAAGGTACAGCGCCCTGACCAAGCGCGTTTCCGCCCTGCTTCTCTGTCTCTCTGTCTCTCTTTTTCGGCCACTGAACTTGTACGTGGGCGCTGCAGTGGAATAGCGGGGTTCAAGTTTTCCTGATTGGTTGGACACTCAGCAAACATACCCTGTGGCCACTCACTCCTTTGTTACTCCCAGAAATGTTGACAGCCCGTGTGGCCAGCGTGCTGCCCCCGGGAGCCCCCAGGAGTCCCAGCGTGGGCAGCAGTGTGTGGGACAGACAGGGGTCCCCACACCTCGGGAGTGGGAGTGCTAAGCCACCTCTCCCCTTCCTGTCTGTTGAGGTCCCCAGTCCCAGGAGGTGTCTTCATGTTTAAGTCACGTTCCTGCCCCACACGGAGCAGAAGGAAGATATGTGAATGAAAGCAGGGTCCATGTAAGGAGACGGAGTGGGTATGCAGTCCTGGGGGTGTGGCACGCTGCAGGGGGACGCACCTGTCGTGGGCAGGCTGGAGAGCTGCCTGTGAGGGAGGGTGTGGGGCCAGAAGCCACTCCCGCATGCAATAGCCCCCTTTATGGGACAGGAGATGGGGTGCAGTTGGGCTGGGTCCTCTGTGTGTGTGTGTGTGCGTATGTGTCTGTCTATCTTTGTGCATCTCTGCATGACACTTGGTTTCCCATGGCCATGATGGTGTCTTGGCTGGTGAAGGACAAACAGGTGCCTTTTGGGAAAGTGGGGGTGAGCTGCGTTGGCAGGTGGGGGTGCGGCTCAGGTTAACTAAAGGGAAACCTGTTCTTCTGCTCACAAGATCTGACAACAAACTGTGAGGTTTTTGTTTTATCACCAAGCAGCCCTCCGGCTCTCTGCGCACACTGACTCCGTTTCGTCCTAGCACTGACCATGCAATGTCGAGTATCAGACCCACACACGTGTCTCCCAAACTCAAGTATCGGGGTCCCCAGGTGACCCCCGCACCTGTCCAGTGCGCTTCACCCGCAGCCTCTCTTCTGCTTTGCTGATGCTCCATGACAGCTCCCAGAACTTGGGGATCGTACTTGAACCTACCAGTTTCCTGGCACTGGAATGGCTAGGGATGCGAATCGGCCGCCGGGTGCAGAGGGATACAGGCTCAGGCACGGTGGAGTTGCAGGTGCAGGAGCTTCCGTCCCCCTGGAGTTGGGGCACATCCCCCTTCCCCTCCCCCGGCAAGTGGCTGCAGTCATTGTGTTGGCTGCCCCACCAGGCTGGAGAGCCCCTGGGTGAACACAGCCGCCCTCCTACCCCTCCTAGCCCGATACCCCCCACGTTCATCAGCAGGCACCCCGTGTCGTCCCAGGTGGCTCCTTAGTGGTAACTCTGCCACGTCTCGGGGAACTGCGAGGATCCGGGGAGCTTGGTGTGCCAGTAGCGGTGGCCAGACGCATGGACACACAGCCACCTGTGATGGCTGGTTTTATGCTGGTTGAGTTGGTGTATAAGCCTCCTCTGACCATAGCCCAAGGAAGGACATGAGCAGCCACCGACCCCAGAGGCTGCCACGACTGTCTCAACTTCTTGAGACGGTCATCTTCTCAGGTTGTGGCTGGCTAAATTGCTCACAGTGGTGCCTCTAGACTGACTGCCACCCCCTGGGGCCAGCGTGTTCAAATCCAGAGCCATGAGCCCCATCCTGCCCCCACCAGGAGGCTTCCCTGTATCTGACAAGATGGCCCAAGTCATGCGCTCGGGGAGCAGCTGGGAGGCCCAGGGCTGCTGGGAGAGGGGAACTGACGCAGGAGGCTGCAGCTGGGTTGTGGGGTGGCGAGTCGGGGCTACAGGTACAGATTGTGGAGTCTGGGGGTGTGGGTGGGAGGCCCGTGACAGCCAGAGGTGGCAACATAACTGAGGATAGTGCCTTGGGTGCCAGAAGCGACTGGAATGGACGGGTACACAGGGAGACCTTAGGGGGCCAGGGTGAGTGAGCCGGGGCTGGCCCTGCTGGCAGGAGCAGGGAGCACTCGGCCCCTGCAGGGTGCTGGTGGAGGAGGGTGAGGGATGTGCCTGCTCTGGCTCCTGGAATGCTGCTCCCGGCTCCCGGAAGCGGGCAGACGCTGGCGGCACAGGCCCCTTCTGCTCCTCACCATAGTCCCTTCAGGACTATGTGTTCCAGGCTGTCCCGGCCGATCCCTCTTGTTTGGGGGTGCTCCCCAGCTCTGGCTTGCACTGTGTCTGTCCCCTGGGCCGCCTCCCCGGCTGCCGGCCATCTCTCCCCTTACCCTCCTCCTTGGGGAGCGCTGGGGGGCGTGCTTTCTTTGGGTAGCAGTGTGGTTGTCTGCTGCCTCCCGCCCCCAAGCTCTGCGGAGGCGATGGGGCTCCTGGCCCAGCTGCTCGTCCAGCTCACCCGGTGTCCAGGGCAGGGGCTCCTGGACAGCGCTCCAGCGGCCGAGGCAGGGCAGCAGGGGCAGGGGCTCCTGGACAGCGCTCCAGCGGCCGAGGCAGGGCAGCAGGGGCAGGGGCTCCTGGACAGCGCTCCAGCGGCTGAGGCAGGGCAGCAGGGGGCAGGGCAGGGGAATGTCTTTATGCAGAGACTTGGGGTACTTATTCATGCAAACATGTATACTTGTATAGCTAATGTTTTCTGAGCAAGCTATGAACTCTTATGTATATTTTACTTCAAAGACAGATTTATAGAGAGAGAAGGAGAGACAGGGAGAAAGCTCCTCCATCCACCGGTTCACTCTCCAAATGACCACAACAGACAAAATGGCTGGTCTGAAGCCAGGATCCAGGAGCTTCTTCTGGGTCTCCCACATGGGTACAGGGGGCTGAGAGCTTGGGCCATCTTCCACTGCTTTCCCAGCCATTAGCAAAGAGCTGGATGGGGAATGGAGCAGCTGGGATTCAAACCCAGTTCCATGTGGGGTGCTGTGCTGCAGGTGGAGGATTAACCTGCTTTGCCACAGCGCTGACCCCTGCTGCTGTCCTGTGATGTCTGGCTGAGCCCTCCTTCTGCCAGCTTGCCAGGTCGCTTGGCCAGGTCAGAGCACCCGGGAGGAGAGGCAGTGGGCGGGGAGCACTCAGCAGTGTCGCTAGCACAGGGTCCGGCTCCCCTACTCTGAGGAGCCCGGCTGCATGGCTCCCCCTCACCCAGGTCGTTCCCTCGCAGGGGAGTGGGCTGATGACCAGAGGCATGGCCACGGCGTGTACTATTATGTCAACAATGACACCTACACAGGGGAATGGTTCAACCACCAGAGGTGAGCCACAGCCTGTTCCCGCCCCGCAAGGATGTGTCCCAGGGGTGTCCTGTCTGCTAGGAGCCAGTGGTCACCAGGCCCCCTCACTGGACCGGCCAGGGCTGCAGGGGGGCTGCCACAGGAAGCCTGAGCGAGGAGCTGCACCTGCAGCAGCTGCTGCCTCCCTGCTCCGTGGGGCCAGACCACGTGGGGCCATCAGCGGGAAGCCCCAGAGGGCACTCAGCCCTCGGCAAACAGGGCCTCTGCCCGGGGAGACAGGTGTCACCCACTCCCCCTGCGGCCATCAGCGGGGAGCCCCAGAGGGCACTCAGCCCTCGGCAAACAGGGCCTCTGCCCGGGGAGACAGGTGTCGCCCACTCCCCCTGCGGCCATCAGCGGGGAGCCCCAGAGGGCACTCAGCCCTCGGCAAACAGGGCCTCTGCCCGGGGAGACAGGTGTCGCCCACTCCCCCTGCGGCCATCAGCGGGGAGCCCCAGAGGGCACTCAGCCCTCGGCAAACAGGGCCTCTGCCCGGGGAGACAGGTGTCACCCACTCCCCCTGCGGCCATCAGCGGGGAGCCCCAGAGGGCACTCAGCCCTCGGCAAACAGGGCCTCTGCCCGGGGAGACAGGTGTCGCCCACTCCCCCTGCGGCCATCAGCGGGGAGCCCCAGAGGGCACTCAGCCCTCGGCAAACAGGGCCTCTGCCCGGGGAGACAGGTGTCGCCCACTCCCCCTGCGGCCATCAGCGGGGAGCCCCAGAGGGCACTCAGCCCTCGGCAAACAGGGAGACAGGCCTTACCTGTCACTTGCCTCTCCTCCATGCACGCAGCCCTAACCAAGGCGGTGCCCCCTGCTCTCCTTGGCCTGTGAGCCTGCCTCCCCTGGCTCCAGGCCACCCTCATGCCCCCCAGTTGTGGCTCTCCACCTGCAGGGTTCACGCCGATGCTGACACAGACTGCATCTATGTCCCCCTCTGTCATGGCCAGGCACGGGCAGGGCACCTACTTCTACGCGGAGACGGGCAGCAAGTACGTCGGTACCTGGGTGAACGGACAGCAGGAGGGCGCGGCCGAGCTCATCCACCTGAACCACAGGTACCAGGGCAAGTTCATGAACAAAAACGTAAGTTGCTGGGAAGCTGCATTTGCCAATGCAGTGGGCGGGGGCCTGCGTCCACTAACCTGTGCTAGCCTGAGAATGGGGCACGTGGAACTCACTGCCCATACCTGGCGGGGGGCTGCAGGGGCATGCAGCTGTGCTTCTGGGGGTCCTTCTGACACTCTAACTGCCCCCTGCCCCTTGCTGGGCTGAGACCTGCGCCCTCTGATGGTGCCAGGGTGCCCAGGCTGGGGGTTTCTCGGTACCTACCTTTGCCCACTTGCATTTGGAAGCCCTCTTTGTGGACAGGACCCTCTGTAATACAGAGAAGCCCTGGAGGGCTCGGAGCCTCCCACTGGAGCAGGAGTGGGAGGGTTCAGGAAACACTGCCGCCTGATAACCATTTGGGAAAGCAGTGGAGGACGGCCCAAAGCCTTGGGACCCTGCACCCACCTGGGAGACCTGGAGAAGCTCCTGGCTCCTGGCTTTGGATCAGTTCAGCTCTGGCTGTTGCAGCCACTTGGGGAGTGAACCAGCAGGAAGATCTTTCTGTCTGTATCTCCCTTCTCTCTGTAAATCTGACTTTCTGATTTAAAAAAAAAAAAAATGAATCATTTTTTAAAAAAAGAGATAAATTACAAATGAAATTAGACTATTATATAAATGCCTTTATCAACAACTGCAATTTACATATAATTTTTTAAATTGGAAAGGCAGAGTGGCAGAAGCTCCCATGCCCTGGTTTACTCCCCACGGGGCTGTGATGCCCGGAGCCAGGGCCAGGGCCAGGGCCAGAGCCAGGGCCAGGGCCAGGGCCAGGGCCAGGGCCAGACCCAGAGCCAGGGGCCACGACGCGACCAGCTTTCTGCGGTCAGTAACAGGGCCTCACTGTTGCCTTGCAGGGTCTGTGCTGGCAGGAAGTTGGGACTGAGGGTGCTGGGCTGAACCCCCAAACCACTGTGACTTAGATGGTCAGGGAAATGAGTGGGAGGTCGCATCTCAAGTCTGTAAGCCGTGTAGTCACAAGAGGCTGGGCCCTGAGATACACGGGGCATGAGGCCATGTGCTCACACGTCCTGTCGGCCACATGTGCCTCTGAGAACACCGAGGGAGGCGTGGAGATCCGCGGGGGGGATCCTGCAGGACGGGCCACCGCAGCGTTCACTGTCAAGGACGGCAGTGGTCACCAAAGGCCGCCGCCAGCAGAGACCTCAGGGTGGGCCCGGCTCGGTGGCTGCCGTAGGGGACACGGGTGAACATGGAAAGTAGCAGGGTGAGCAGGGGTCAGCATGTGGGTGAGTGGGTCCAAGAGCACCCCTTTCCCAGGAGGAGCGCCCCAAAAGCCAGCAGCAGCTGAGAGCTGAGCGCTGCTGCTTTGCCTGGGGACGCTGGCTTAGTGAAGTGTGTGCAACGAACACGTCACTTTTGTAACGCAGCAGCCAGGGGACGTGTTCTCTGTCAGTCTGGGGGGCATCGGTTGATAAGGGCGTCTGTCCGCCCACACTGGTGCCCGGTCTGCCCCGGGGAGGTGACCCTCTGGGGCGGGCTGCGCTGTTTCCTGGCACCACCCGGGACAGGCATGAGTGAGGCCCGGGGTTTCTCTCTGCTCCTAGCCCGTGGGCCCCGGCAAGTTCGTGTTTGATATCGGCTGCGAGCAGCACGGGGAATACCGTTTAACCGACGTGGTAAGTGGCCTGGCACTTGAGCTCATTTTCTTTTTTAAGTTTTATTTCTTTTGCGGACTTTTTAGTGTTTTATTGGTTTGAAAGGCAGAGTTATAGAGAGAGTAGGGGAGGCAGAGAGAGGATCTTCCATCTGCTGGTTCTTTCTCTGGTTTCTTGGTGAATTCCAGAGCCCAAGAGAGGAACCAGGACTCCCTGGGGTCTCCCATGGGGGGCAGGGGCCCTACGGATCACCCCGTATTATTACAACAGTCCAGTCCTTCAGCCATGGTCAAGTCCAGCCTTCTGCTACCGAAGTGCATCCTGACATTGTAGGCACAGACAACTGGAGCACAGCATCTTGTTGTCAGGATAGATTTAGTAGCTTCACTGGGAGTCACCTTTGACTTGCGAGTAGAGGGGCACCCTGCACCGTGTCCATCACACCGCTCCTGTACACACGCGATAATCCAGGTGTGTGCTGCTCTCGTATTTTGCATGAAGTTGCCTTGTGTCAGAGAGAACATATGGGACTTACCCTTTGCGGACTCGCCCTAGTATGCACAAACGACTGCATGGCTGCGAGAAAACTCCTAAGTGCAGTCCGTTTTAGATTAGTGGAGGAGAATCCTAAATCCCTTGGTAAACCTACCAAAGACGGGGAAAGCCTCTATGATGAAAACTACAAAACATCAAAAGAAGAAGTAGAAGACATTAAAAGATGGAGAAGTTGACCGTGTTCCTCGACCGGCAGGAACAACAGGATCAAAACGTCCGTATTACCAAAAATAATGTACAGATTCAACGCAATCGGAATCAAAATCCCAACAATGTTCTTCTCAGAAATAGAAAAGATGACGGAAAACTTCATCTGGAACCGCAGGAGACCGTGAATAGCCGGAGAGACCCTGAAGAATAAAAATCAAGCTGGAGGGGCCCAGCGCAGTGGCCTAGCGGCTAAAGTCCTCACCTTGAATGTGCTAGGATCCCATATGGGTGCCGATTCTAATCCTGGCAGCTCCACTTCCCATCCAGCTCCCGGCCTGTGGCCTGGGAAGGCAGTCAAGGACGGCCCAAAGCCTTGGGACCCTGCACCCGCGTGGGAGACCTGGAGGAAGTTCCTGGCTCCTGGCTTCGGATTGATCCAGCACTGGCCATTGTGCTCACTTGGGGAGTGAATCATCGGATGGAAGATCTTCCTCTCTGTCTCTCCTCCTCTCTGTATATCTGACTTTGCAATAAAAATAAATAAATCTGAAAAAAAAAATCAAGCTGGAGGAATCAGAGTCCCAGGCCTCGAGACATACTACAGAGCAGTGGTCGTCAAAACAGCGTGGCTGGTGCAGGAGCAGAGATCAACGGAACAGAATAGAAACCCCAGAAGGGAGCCGACACATACACAGTCAACTGATCTTTGACAAGAAAACTGAAAACAATCCAGGCAAAAAGCCTGGTCTCTTCAACAGTTGCTGTTGGGACAACCAGATAGCAGCCTGCAGAGGTAAGAAGCAAGACCCACACCTGTCACATTATACGAAAATCAGCTCTAAATGGATCAAGGACCTAAATCTACGCTTGGAAACCATCAAAGTATTAGAGAAAAACGTAGGAAGCACTCTCCAAGGTGCAGGAATTGGGAAAGACTTCTTGGAAAAGACACCAGAAGCAGAGGCAGTCAAAGGCAAAATAATGGACCGCATCAGGCTGAGAAGGAGCGAGGAACCACGCTCCACAGCTGATGGGGCCCCTCTGACACTGCCCCATGGCCATCGCCCTCCTGAACGGCTGGGGCTGGGGCCTGGGTACCGGGGACCCCACCCCTTGGTCTGGGCCCCTCCCTGTGGCCTCTCACTTCCTGCCCATCTGTCTGGCCACAGTTGCCGGAGTCCAGCTCCAGCTGAGTTCGGAACTCGCGAAGGGTGCATGGATGAGGCGCAAAGAAAGAGACGGACCACTAGTAACTCTTCATCATCATAATGGACCACGCACAAAAGCTGTCCGCTTTATTTATACAAAATCAGTCAAACTCTGGCTCAGACTTTTTACATCATGGTCAAGTGGGTGTTTCCAAAGATAACTCTGCCTTTTGTTTCACCTAAGGCTAGGTTGCTGTTCATCTGGCACCTGGCGCCTGGCTAGGAAAAGGTTTTCAACAGATGATGCATATCGGTCAGTAGCACATTCCTACAATTGGTCTTGAGATAGTCAAGGGAGGAAGGGGCCTAAAAGATCAAAGAAGAAGGAAAGAATAGATTCCCACTACACCTGAAAGCAGAACTCCCTTGATTAGCATAGGATCAAAAGGGGAGTTAGTACCCTTGATTAGCATAGGATCAAAAGGGGGAGTCAACACTCTTGATTAACATATTGCCACAGGACGCAGCCCTAACAGCGATAGTAGCTCTTTGGCTAAAAACGGCACTAGCAACATTAGCTTCTAAGTTCCTATTGACGTTTAACAGTAACTCCGCAGAGGCAGGCAATGCCTGAATAGATTACAGAATTCTCAGTGGGGTTGTCTGGTGTCCATGCAAAGGGAGGCAGAGCCGCATTCAGGTGTTGTAGAGACATCCGCCAGGCCTTGCCACACAGCGGGGAGTTCCTTGCAACCTTGCCTGCAATGGAGCCACGCTCTTCACACCTTCCTGTCTTCCACCCCCATCACACGGACTCCAGCACACAGTCATTTGTTCCCCCAGATAGCTCGAGGTCGTGCCTGGTTGCCAGTGGTCGCCTGTGGTCTGCAGGGTTAGCGTTGGGCTTCCCGGCAGTGACGCCTCAGGCTTCCGTGCCCTTGGCGGTCCCCGCTCTGGGCCTGCCCGCCTGCCACACCTGCCTGTGCGCTGCCATGGCTGGGCTGCCGGCGAACCAGACAACCAAATGGCGTTGTTGACTGCACTGGCTGTGGTTTCTTGGTGAAGCCCCGGCTGCTGGGTTTCAGGCGTCTTTCCGTAAGCCACCTGTCCCTAGTAGGAGCAACAGAGGGGCGTGACACAGACCCCAGCCGTGTGAGCCAGGCTCACCATGCGTGTGCCTCTGTGCACCTATGTGCACCTGTGTGTACCTGTGTGTACATGTGTGTGCCTGTGTGTACATGTGTGTGCCTGTGTGTACATGTGTGCCTGTGTATATGTGTGTACATGTGTGCCTGTGTGTACATGTGTGCCTGTGTGTACCTGTGTGCCTGTGTGTACCTGTGTGTACATGTGTGTGCCTGTGTGCACCTGTGCACTTTTGAGATGAGCAGCCTTACTGTGAGGAAGGTCTTCAGTGTCCGTCGTGTTGTGGCAGATCTTGAAAGCTCCCACCACGTGGCTGACGAATCGTCCACTGTCTGTCCTCACGGGCCATCTTCTTATTGTCCATTCCTCTTTCACAGGGCACTGGGGTGGCATCTACTTGTCGGCTGCTAAGACTAATGTTGCTGTGAACATGTGTGTGTATCTGTTTGAGTCTCTTTAAATTCTTCCTTAAAGCTTATTAATTTGAAATGCAAGAGAAGAGAGAGAAAGAGGGAGGGAGGGAGAGAGAGAGAGAGATCTTCCATCAGCTGATTCACTTCCCCAAAGTTCCCAGAAGCTCAAGTTGGGCCCAGCTGAAGCCCCGAGCGGGAACTCTGTCCCGGCTCCCACCCTCGGCAGGGGCCTGAGCACCACGGCTGGAATGGTCGCCTCCCAGGCGCCTTGGCAGGGAGCTGGTTTGGAAGTGTGGAGGAGCTGGGACTGTAGCTGGGCCTCTTGTGTCTCATGCCGTGGTCCTGCCCTGTTCTGCCTCTGGGTCCAAATCCCCGTCTCTTGCTGGACCCTGGCTGCTGTTCTGGGATGGAGGCAAACAGGAGCAGGCAGAAACTACAGTGGATCTGGGGTCAGGTCCCACGGCCCTTGGGAGGAGCCGCTAGACTGTGGCTGTGGATGCTGATGGAAGCTGGGGCTGTGCCCGGTGCTGGCACACTGCAGTGAGGCAGTGGCTGAGCTCTCACTGGGGCCCGTGTGGACAGTGGACATGTGTGGGCTTCTCCCTGCTGCTCGATTTGGATGTCACCCAGGGAGCCGCACGTTCTCACCTCACTCTGCTCCTACTGACTTCGCTTCCCGTCTCTCTGGAGCTTTCTCCCCTGGGGGTGGGGGACATGGCTCCGTGGGTGCACCTTAGCATCTAGAACTTCCTAGAACTTCTAGAACCAAAGTTATTATTGTTTTTAAACTAAATAGACCTAGAGCTGGGAAACAGTGCCTGGTAATTTAAAGGCCATTTAGCCCAGCTTACTCCTCACCTGTCATGAAGCCGGGGCGTTCTGACCCCAGCCCCAGCCAGAGCTGACCCCCACCCCTCGGGGTGCTGCAAAGTGCCAACGGACGGTCCCGTTGTCCCCGAGCTGCCCCAGGGAGAGGCTTGAATGCCAGGCAGCACCCATCCTTTGTCCCTCTGCTTACAGTGCTCTGACCCACCAGACGTTGGTAAAGTCACGTTTCTGCATTTGACACAGGAGAGAGGAGAAGAGGAGGAAGAGGAGGAGGTGTTGGCAGCTGTCGTGCCCAAGTGGAAAGCCACCAGGATCGCGGAGCTGGCCCTGTGGACACCGACACTCCCCAAGGAGCAGACCCCGCCCGAGGGGCCTGGGCAGGAGGAAGCCCCCCGAGCCGAGGGTGAGGGGCGGCTCCCAGGGCAGGGGCACACCCTCTGCCTTCTGCACCCGTGGCCTTGGAGGCCCCTCGGTGGCACTGCAGTTGGAGCAGGCAGAGGTTGGCTGCCAGCAGCCAGGGTGACATGGAGGACCAGGCAGCCCTTCTCCACGTCCCTCACGCTGGAGCGATGCTGGCCTCCCAGGGCAGCGGAAGGTGGCCCGCAGGGTGAGGTCATTCCTGCTGTGCTGTGAGCCAACTCCAACAGGTCCAGAGAAGGGACATCCGCCCTGGGGCTGGCTCTGCACTTCCTGTGGCTGGAGAATTGTCCACTCTGGCTCTGGGTTCCGCCAGAGGGCTCCTCCCTTGAGGGACCAAGAGGCATCTGCCGGGCCGACCTCTTCCAGGACTCTTACCTCGGGGTCAGGGTTGTCAGAGCCACCATACCCTCTCTGTCCCTCTCCTTGCTGGGGGGCCTGGCTGCCCTGGGGGCTAGTCTGACCGCAGCAGGTGGACCAGGCAAGGGGGCGCTGTCTCACATGGAGGAACAAGGCCCTGTATGTACCCAGGAGGCAGTGGGCAGAGAGAAGCTGGCTGCTGCCCCTGCCCTCGGGCCTGACGTCCCCTGTCTGTTGACCAGGTACAGGGGAGGACATGGAGGAGAGCCAGGGCCTGCCAGATGGCTTGGAGGGCGACATGGAGCTGAGGCCTGGGGACGAGGACGCGGACGTGTTCCGGGACGATGCCCGCGACTATGGTTATGACATGGACCAGGGTGAGGATGGGTTCCGCCAGTGCCAGGCCAAAGGGAGGCGGGAGCCCTGTCCCAGCCGCACCCTGGGGCCGAGCAGCCCCAGCCGGGAGGAGAGCCCAATGGGTGCTGACATCAGCCGTGTTGCGGGCAGGCCGGCCTGTGACTGCCATGGTAGCGGGCGCGTCCACTCCTGCTGGGGTGCAGGCAGCTTAGAGTGAGGGCGTGGCTTCATGTCTCCCCCAGAATCACAGGGGCACAGCCAGCTAAGGGCTCGTGGGATACAGGTGTCAGCTATGAGTCGAGAAGCTTCCGTCTGCCAGGCTATAGGGGAAGAGGAGGCGGGCTTCGCGGTCCTGGACACTGTGTGTGGCTCCTCTGGGCCCAGTTTCTCACCCCTCTGGTTGGAGCACCGCTCTGTTGGAGGATAAAGGTCACCAGGGGGCAGCCTGGACACGGGGGGCGGGCAGAGGGCCAGGGCACCTGCTCCCATCCGGCTGCCAGCGTGACCCTGGCGTTTGGCTGCCGAGTCATGGCTGAGCTGGAGTCCAGTGGGAACCTGACTTGAGTGTCGGCCTGGCTGGGCAACCTGCCCCTGTCTCATTTGCATATCGCGCCCAGGGAACGGGGAGGGGAGGGGAGAGGAAGCGGCCCACTCAGTTGTGACCCCAGGCTGTGTCCTGGACAGCAAGGCTCTCTCCAGAGCCCACCCAGGGAGTCTGTGATGTCACTGCAGGGGAGGGGTGGGCAGGGACCTGCCAGGGGAGGCGTTCCCTGGGGCAGGACCAGGAAGTGATCCTGAGATGGTGGTGATGGGGGCGGGGAGGAGGAGGGTTTCAAGGGATGTGAGAGAGTTGAGGGCCCCAGGAATGTGGGAGGCCATGAAGGGGACCCCCACATAGGATGTGTCTGACCGGACTCCGGCCCCCTCTACGGCAGGGCAGAGGCTTGGCAGAGCTGTAGGGGGCACATCTGGGGCTGGCAGAGGCTTGGCAGAGCTGCAGGGGGCACATCTGGGGCTGGCAGAGGCTTGGCAGAGCTGCAGGGGGCACATCTGGGGCTGGCAGAGGCTTGGCAGAGCTGTAGGGGGCACATCTGGGGCTGGCAGAGGCTTAGCCAGAAGTTGTACCTGTCACTCACCATGTTTGCCATCCAGGCCCCCCTGCCCCCGCTACGGCCAAAGTACAGAGCCGGGAAGCCCACTGGCGTCTCCCACGTGGACGATAGGGACCTGCTGGCTCCCTGGGGTCCTGACGGAGCTGCGCTGCAGGTGGAAGTGGGCCTTGAGTCCAGGCTCTGTGACGGGGGCATCCCAGGTGGTGGGCGAGCCCACTGAGCCCCCAAGCCCACCCTACTAGGTTCTGCTTTAACAGCGTGTTGCAGACCTGACTTGCAATGAGAGAAATCCAGCGTAGTATTAGGGCCAAGGGATGGCATGAAGGGGCACCCAGAATTCCTGCGATGACTCAGCGTTTGCTTGGGTCTTTCGCTGGTTCACTGCCAGCTCCCGGAGACCGCCTGGGGATGCCCGAAGGAAAGAGAATCTAGCAGGCCCGGCGGTTGCCCCGTCAGCTGGCAGGCAGAGTCACCTGCCGTGGGGCTCACTCCCTGTCGCCCCGTCTCCCCAGGAAATGCCAGTCTGGAAGAGGAAGAAGGCCGGCAGGAGCTGCAGGACTGAGGCAGCCTGGGGGCCCAGCAGGGGTCCTCCTTCCCCGTGGCTGCTCCCTGCAGCCAGTTTGCAGTTGTAAATAAACCCCTCCCTTGCGTTTTGTTTCTTGAGCTGTGCATACTCTCCTGGGATAAAGAGGGAGGGACAGAATGCCCCCCATATGCCCCCCCCCCGTAGTCCTGGCCAGGCAGCAGCTGGGGACCCCACCCCCCCATACCACCACCCAGAGGTTCCACACCGCCAACCTCACCCTCTCGCTATGTGACGGTGCAGGCCTCACAGGACGAATTCTTACTAAAATCCCACCACGCACTTTACTCATTGGAGGACAGCGTGGCGGGTGGTGGGACAGCTGGCGGCCACGGAGGGACACGCAGCAGTCACCACAGGCCAGGATGGGGCACCTAGGGGCCGCCAACCCAAAGTCCAACCACCACCCGGTGGTCCTGGACCACGCAGGACAGCGAGCTGCTGTCCACATCCTCTAGCCCTGCAGGCTGGAGTCTGCACCTGTGGGGACTGACCCCTGACCCCGCCCCGCGCCATGCCCTCCCCACAGGGCAGTCCCTCCCCCACCCGCTGTCCCTCCTCCTTGGTGTCCCCCAGAGCTCCTGTCCTGGCTCACACCCTTGACGCTAACCTGCCAGTTACATAGTTCCTGAAGGCCCAGCAGGCGCCAGGCACCGTGCTTGGAGTTAAAGTAGCCATTCCTCCAGGTGCCCGATCCTGGACACAGGTCATATGGTTGGTGGGGAAATGGCCATGGTTTGTAGGGCTGAGGGGGCTGCGAGGGGGCTGTGAGGGGGCTGTGAGGGGGCTGCGAGGGGGCTGGGCATTGATGGAGCCCCTCGTCCCGCAGCACCTGTCCTTGCCAAGGGCTCCTCCTGTTCCCGACCATCACGGTCATACCTTTGGCTGCCCTGCTCCTGCCAGGGGGGAAGGGGGAAGGGGGAGGCTGTCCCCTCATAGAAAGGGTTAGATCTGCCCGAAGCACGTGCCAGGTGAGCAACCCAGCAGCTCTCTGGGCACACCGAAGCCACCCGGGGAGGGGCAGCGCCGGTCATCCATGATGACCGTGACAAGCCTTCGAGACGGGGTGACACGAAGGACAAGGACCAGTCCTGGGACCAAGCACGGGCAGTTTTGGACAAGTGACCCCTGACCCTTCAGATGAACAGTGAGGAGTGCAGGGCTCATCGTGTCTGCTTGTGTAAGGATGGGGCACAGCTGTCACTCACTGCATTCCTCACGCCTGGCCAGCTCCCCGGGAGTCCCGTGCCTGTGCCCACCTCCTGGTGGTGTGGGGAGATGAGGCCCCAGGACCACCTTACCGTGGCTTTGTTGCTTTCAGCCCCTGCGGCCAGGCGCTGTGGGCCAGCGGCCCATCTCCTCGGGGGGAGGTCACTCCGACTTCTATAAACAGAACTGGCCCCCTCCCGCCTCTCCCCTCTCCCACAGGCGGCCCTGGGACCGCAGCGGGGGAGGGCCTCCTTCCAAGCTGCCCTGGACCTGCCCATCACCCTCTGTCCACTCAGGGCTTCCTCTCTTGACTCCGGGGTACTCCCACAGCCTCTGGGCACGACGCTGGTTGTCATGACGACACGGGCTGGACTGCCCAGCCCTGCCCTCTGCCATCACCGAGGCTGACCTGAGGCACGGCAGGGCACGGCTTATGCTGGTGCCATCACTGGTTCTGATTTGTAGGTAGGTCAACAGCGCAGGTGAGGGTCTGGGCGCCAAGATGGGTCATGCTGTGGTATTCTCAAGATGCCATGACCCACCTTGGTGGGGTGAGGGTCTGGGCGTGCAAATTGCCACAATGCTTGGCACAGAGTAAGGCCAGAGTCAGGGGCTGGAGGAGCAGGGCCTCGGTGACAGCCCAGGGGGTTGAGGGTGCCCTTGGGAAGGGACAGGTGACCTCTGGGCTGCTAAAGTCATGGAAGTCCAGTCCAAGGTCCCCCCCAGCTGTAGACTCCGCAATGCTGTGGCCGTGGGCCCAGCAAGCTCCGGCCCCTCCAAGGGGGAGGTGTGGGGGAGGGACAGCGACTGCCTGTCCTGACCCTCAAGTCCTGGCCCCTACTTCACAGAAGCCACTGCAGCAGCTTCCCTGAGTCCCCCCGCCCGAGGGAGACCCGGAACCAGAGGGCACCCGGCCCACCTCGACGGGGTTTCCTCTTGCGCTGTCCCTACCGGCTCACGGGGCAGTGATGGACACACCCTGCAAGTTGTAGGGTGGACTTCCTGCGTCCACTCGCAGACACCCTTCTTGTCCCGCCTTGCTGGGAGCTTACGTCGGCAAAGGACACTGCGTCCAGCAAGAGGATTCTCTGCCACCTCTGAGATGGTGGCACTGTTGAGCTTGGTGGTAAAGTGGTGGGTTGTGCAGCTTTTATGTATTTTAAAGCTTTTTATTTGTGTGTTGAGAGGCACCTGCTGGTTCACTCCCCAGATAGCCGCAGTGCCCAAGCCAGAAGCCCAAGCGGGGTGGCCCGCATTGGTAGCAGACCAAAGGACCCGAGCCACTCTCACTGCCCCCAGGGTGTGCAGAGGCAAGGACCTGGACCAGAAGGTGCCGGGGCCCTACGTGGTTCTCCAATGTGAGATGTGGGTGATGCTAGTGGCTCCTGGGATTCAGTTCGGCCACTGTGGCCATTTGGGCAGTGAGCCAGTGGAAGGAAGATCTCTCTCCCTCTGTAACTCTGCTTTTCTAGTAAAACTAATTTGTCTTAAAAAAGAAAAAAAGAAAAGAGGTGTTAGTCCTTGCCTTGAATGCTGGAATCCCATATGGGTGACGGTTCTAATCCTGGCAGCCCCACTTTCCATCCAGCTCCCGGCCTGTGGCCTGGGAAAGCAGTGGAGGACGGCCCAAAGCTTTGGGCCCCTGCACCCGCGTGGGAGACCTGGAGGAGCCCCTGGCTCCCGGCTTCGGATCAGTGCAGCACTGGCCTTTGTGGATTCACTTGGGGAGTGAATCACTGGACAGAAGATCTTCCCATCTGTCTCTCCTCCTCTCTGTCTATCTGGCTTTGCAATACAAATAAAATAAATCTTAAAAAAAAAAAAAGAATGTTGATTTGTTTCTGGCCGGCACAGCACCTGTCATTCTCCAATGCGCTCCTGTGCGTGCTGTGTGTTTTTCTCTTCTGGCTTTATTTCTGGTTTTAAGCCAGTCTGATTGTAGCTTGGCTTTCCTGCCATCTGCTATGCGTGGGGTTTTGTTGGTGGCTCAGGCCGTCCCAGGGCGCAGCCTGACCGTCCATCCCGTCCCGTTTGCCTTTGTTGTTGTCACAGTCTGCCGTGTGGCCCGATGCCAGGAGTCCCGGAAAGTGTGACAAACCACGATGCATGATTCCGTTTCTGGCAGAAGGAGACAGGCAGCCCTGGAGCCTCCTGCAAGGTTCATGTTCCTGCCCAGTAGGTTGTGTTGACATTCCTGCCAAGGTCAAGGAGACCTGGAGTGCCAGGTGTGGCACTGCACTCCTTGGAAGGGAGGGGCAGGTTATTTGCAGCTCAGTAGTGGTTGCTGGAAGGTCACAGTGTTGGACCCATGCCAAGGGTCTCCTGGCAGTCTGTGCCCGTCCCTGGGGGCACTGGCAGTCTATGCCTGTCACTGGGGGCACTTTCAGTGCTGTGTCTAGGTGGGATTTGTGCCCCCTGGGCGAGGAGGGCTGCGTGACTGCCATGGAACCCGGTGTCCAAGTCCTCTCTGCTGTGTGGCTTGTAACACAGGGACTCCCAGCATGTGCAGTATCCCCCACTGTCCCTGAGCACCGGACTGCCCTCCTGTCCCCTGAACCTGCACCCCTAGCCCAAGGCCCAGGAAGATGCCTGTAGTTGGGGCGTGGTCCTCTGGGCAGCTCCTGTCACTCCTCCAGCCCCTGCCCCATCTCCAGTCTTGCTGCCCTTAGTCTAAGGCTGCTCTGGGCTCTGCTCGCACCCTGTCCCCCACCACACACAATGGCAACTGGTTCCAGAGGGAATTGGTTCCTGGTGGGCCGTTTTTTCCCCACAGGCTCCTGTAGCCATGGTGCCTTGTCTGGGCGCCCTGCAGTTCAACGTCCTGGTCCAGTTTTCTGTGACTTAGGGCAGAAAGGTGCTGCTCACACCAGTTCTCCCAGCCCAGATCTCACTGCTCATCCTGGGTCGGCTTCCTCTTCCTTGAGCTCTGTCCCCAACAGGTGTGTGACCAGGATTGGGGGAGGGCACCTGCTCCACGAACAACACTGAAGTGATCCTGTTTGGGGGTGAATGATGGGAGGGCATGTGGGAAACCCGGGCATGGCATCTGGTCCATGCATCTCTTACTACCATCTCCCCATTGGCATGGGACTCTTGCACGCCTAACAAGTGGACAGACAAGTGGATTCGAGCCTGTGAAGTCCTGCACATACTGCTTGTCTCCAAAGGGTGGGAGCACAGCACCCCGAGCCAGCGCGGGCACCTGCCAGCCAGGCAGACAGAGTGGGGTCCCATGCTGGCTGCCTGCACAGTGCTTGGACTCCCTGAGCTGGTCTCCCAAGGCTGCAGGGGGCTCAGTCGTTGCAGGAAGGCATCACTCCCGTCTCCTCCCAAGGCTGGGTGCCACACCTCCTGATCCGGGTTACCTAGGGCTGCTTCCTCCGCAGGCTTGTGGCTGGTGGCTGCTCCCGTGTCCCCACCATGACCATCCCTCTGTGTGTAGCTGTATCGTCACTGCCTTGGGTTAGGGCAGAGCCAGGCTGGGTCAGTGCCCATCCCAAGGACCTCGGCACGGCTCTTGTTGGTCAGGGCTGCCCTGAGCTGCTCCGGGCAGGACACAGGCACCTGCTCAGGGCCAGTCATGCCCCTGCTGTCCGCCAGAGGGCGCCCCTCCCATCCGTAACGCTGCAGGTCCACACAATGGCCAGCAGGGGGAGCGTGAGGCAAGGACCTGGGAAAGGGACAGAGGGCCTGGTGGGACATGCATGTCCAGGTGGTGCCAGCAGGGGGCAGACCGGGCCGGGGTCTCAGACCTTGCCTGGTGTGAGGCGTCCAGGCAGAGGTGGGATGATGGC